GAACCGTGGAGTTAAGGAGTGAGAGGTGAAAAGTGTATGTAGAAAGTATAGAAGCCTTTTATAAGAAGTTTAGTAGAAACATAAGGAAAGAAAGTTAGAAGGTATCATCCAAATATTAGCAAATATAGCATCCAAAGGTAAAAGGGAGATATTCCATTATGGGTGGCAACTTTAAGATATAAACAAGAGGGATTCACTAAGGAGCAGAATTTCTACCTCAATTTGTTCTCTTAAAAAGGTAAAATACGAAAGAAAGAAAAGGTGGAAGAGAGTTTTAAATTCTTATGGAAACCTGACTTACTGGACACATTGAAATTGGAGGGAGCCCTGAATCTACTGCCATGAGATAATGTTAAACCATGAACCAAAATTATCTCCACAAGTCATCTTACCCTAAACATCCCCAAACCCCAAACGAACCCACTGCTATCAATTCCAACTCATAGCAACCCTGTAGGACAGAGTAGAACTGCCCCATAGGAATCCCCATAACTGGTGGGTTCAAACAACTGATCTAGTTAGCAGCGAAGTATTTAAACCACTTCACCACCATGATCCTTAAAGTAAACAATTTAGCTCAACTAATAAAGAATGTTTGCCTTGAATATTAAGCTCTTTAAAAGGGTTATCTATATGAGATCAACTTGACAACAGCAACTGTAAAGCATAGCTGAAACATTTAGGGGACTGGTAGTGCAGTGGGTAAGGCATTTGGCTGCTAACGAGAAGGCCGGTGTTTCAAACCCACCAGCTGCTCCATGAAAGGAAGATAAGGGAATCTACTTCCCCAAAGCTTTGTTGTTAGTTGCCCTTGAGTCAGCCCCGACTCATAGCGACCCCTCCTTGGGTTTCCGAGGCAGTATCACTACGGAAGTAGGATTGCCCAACCTTCCTTCCGAGGAGTGGCTGGTGGGTTTGAATCGCCAGCCTTCTGGTTAGCAGTCAAGTGCCTTAGGTACTATGCTACTAGAGCTCCCAAGCTTTACAGCCTTGGAAACCCAATGGAGGTCACTGTGAGTCGGAAACAACTAGATGGCAGCGGGTTTGGGTTTTTTTTTTGTTTTTTTTGTTATTTTGAGTCTAAAGGTGGTGAAACTATATGGATAGAGATGGTGAGAATGGTGACATAACATGAAGAATGTAACCAATGTCATTAAACTGTACACACAGAAATTGTCAAATGAGTATAGGTTTTGTTATGTATAGTTTTACCTTTAAATCAATTTTTAAAAAATTAAAATCTGCTCAAAAAAGCCATTTCTCCAAAGTTAATACAATTCCAAACTTTAACTCTATCTGGAATAAGCCTTACACAATAAATAGATTTAAATGTATTGTCAAAACTGATGATACACATTTTCATAACATACATCTTATGAAAGTATTAAGAATTCACTTTTTGTACATACATAGAATATAGAAAAATACAGGAAATTATTTATGATAAATTTTTGTGGACATTAGAAAGATTTCATTGGCTATGCTCTGGATAGTTTAAGAAATACATTTCTCCTCAGATTCCCTCTTTTGCTCAGAGGAAGCTTGCTGTTTCAAAAACAATGTACCTAAGGCCCTTGCAACTTTGAAGTCAAAATACTATCTTGGTAAAAAATGAGCACTTTCCCATGGAAGCTAGCCTGGTCTCAACTGAAGTGGACTTTGCTCTTCTTCAGGCCTGAATAGACAGTGGTACTTTCTAAGCATGCATATGGAAGAGTATTTTTTCTCATCAGTACTTTTGAGCAATGCCAGCTTCCTTAAGCAATTTTCCCTAACTACCAGGCCATGAATCAGTTAAAAAAAAGTGCAGGTGAGCTCTGCAATTATCTCTGTGTTCAACAATGCGGTCAGAGCTGGTAAATCAGGGTGAATGAACTATTGTGTCAGGAAATTTTTGTTTAGACTGAAACTCCTCCCTTGTTGTTGTTGTTGTTGTTATATGCCGTCGAGTCGGCCCCGACTCATAGCGACCCCTCCTTGGGTTTCCGAGGCAGTATCACTACGGAAGTAGGATTGCCCAACCTTCCTTCCGAGGAGTGGCTGGTGGGTTTGAACCGCCAGCCGTCTGGTTAGCAGGCAAGTGTCTTAGCCACTATGCTACCAGAGCTCCCATTTCTTAAATCCAAACAAGTCAAAAAACACAGATAAATGTTGCTTATTCTTGAATATGAAAACCTGTTTGAGAAATAGTGCATAGACAGCAAAGAACAGAACATAGCAATGTTGTTTGTTGTGATCCTTGTAAAGAACTAGCCAACTTGCTAGTTAATCACTAATTAAAAATACATTGCATTTCAAGAGTAATTTTGTTAACTTGCACTTAGATTATTGGTCTGGACATAGTATATTTTGAATAGTAGATTGTAATTTTGTAAATTAGTCATGTCAAGACCTCCCAAAACCGTTTCTACCTGGATATTTTAACCTAGAGTGGCAGAAAAGGAGTACAAAAATTACTTTTAGGAGGGTAAACACCATTTATAAAGGCAGACAGTGGGAAATTTTATTTTTTAGTATCACTGGCTGTCATCTTATAAATTTATTCATGTGAATGTTGAATAATTACATGATTAACAATAAACAACAACAAAGAAAATCAAACCCCATCAGAACTCAGGACAACCTCATGTATTACGGAGTAGAACTGTTCCGTAAGGTTTTCATGGCTGTAATCTTTAGGGAAGCAGATCACCAGGCCCTTCTATGACACTGCTGTGTAGGTTCTGACCACCAACAAAGAGCTAACATAAAATAGACCAATACAGGTATCCCCAGCTTTTCAAAAGTTCTCTTGATGCCACTTGCTTATATAAAAGACCTATATTAGTACCTCTTTTCACTTATCCAAAGATCTTTGCTCTTACAAAAAAAAGGTGAAAAGTGAAACTAGTGTTGAGCGTGTGTTTTGCAGTGATGGAGCAGCTGGAGTGGCGCTGCCAGCGTTGCCGAGCTCCTTTAGGGGAACTAGACTGAGCATCTCAGGAGCTCTGGTATCGTAGTGCCTAAGGCATTTGACCACTAACAGAAGGCTGGCGGTTCAAACCCATCAGCCACTCCTCGGAAGGAAGGTTGGGCAATCTACTTCCATAGTGATACCGTCTCGGAAAACCAAGGAGGGGTCACTATGAGTCGGGTCCAACTTGACGGCACATAATAACACCAACAACATATTCAGCATCAAGTCACCTTAGTTTTGAACTATGTGTGTGAACATTATAAGTTAAGTCTTATTGAAGGTTTGATGTGTTATTTGGTATGATTTAGTAGGTTATCTTTTAGGTATGAGAATGCTCAAACTTTTTCCCATGTAAAGCCAAACCACTGCCCTCGTGTCTATCATTAATGGTATTGTTTTACACCCATTCTGGCTTAGAAAATTTCACAGGAATGCTCTACTTTCAGAATGGGGCGAGGGTATCAGATTGCAATGGTGGAAATGAGCAGAGAGGAGTCACTCAAATCAACTGTGTCACTCTCTTTGGCTCTCTTTTTGGAATTAAGAGAAAGGAAAACTTGATCTCTAAATGCGACTAATAATTATAATAATAAAAGTTAATTGTGATCATTTAATTTAAAATAATGAGTAAATTGGATGGGAGACAGTTTCCATATTCTCATTTTAAAAATGGGGAATGTTTGATATAGGTGAAGGGAAAAGCAATATAACAAAAGCATGTGACTAGCACAATATCACTAAGGAAAAGGAAGACAAGGAGAGGTGTAGACAATAAAGGCAAATACTATTGCAGACACAATACTGCATTATCAGTAACAGCAAACACTAACCTACAGGTGGGTACATAGGTAGATAAGTATGGGTAGGCAAATGGGAATATATCTGTGACCATACATAGGTTTAGCAGATGATATTCCTACATATGTATTTGCAGTGCTATAAAAATGTCCACATGCAGCTTAAACATAACAGGAGGCAAAGTTAGGATAACTTATTAGCCACAAACATGCACCTTGAGGGAGTAGGTTACTGGTCCTGAGGGCTGGAGACCATGTCACAGGGGACATCAAGCTCAATTGGCACAACAGGTTGTACAAAAATATTGTTCTGTATCTTACTTATTTCAGTGAGTAGCAACTGGGGTCTTAAAAGCTTGTCAGCAGCCATCTAAGTGACAACTATGGTTCTCTCCTTGTGTGGAGCAAAGAAGAGGGAAGAAAATTAAAGAAGCCTGGAAATAATCCAAAGGACTAGTGGACCATGAACCTCAACCTGTATGACTCAGAGACCAGAAGAACTAGATGGTGGCCGGCTACCAATGCCAACCATTTAGAAAGGGATCAGAATTGGAGATCCTGGATAGACTTGGAGAAAAATGTGGAACAAAACTCAAAAACCATTAAAAATAAAACAAAACACCCAGGCTTACTGATAGAGACTGATTGAAACCCGCGAAACTTTGGCCTGGAGTCACCCTTCGGGGCTGGAATTGATCTCAGGTGGCTTCACTCTCAGCAAAACGATAGACAAGTCTAAGTAGGAACTGAACACCTGCCCCAGGGAAATGCATCCTTAGTACAATTAACAACAAAAAAGGTGTGTGTGGGGGCAGGAAGTGACTTCTTTAAATTGGTTAAAGAATCAAGAAGGTTGTTGTTGTGCAGTCTTTTTAAAATGGAAAATACATATTCCGTAAAATTGTCATTTCCGTCTCTGAGCATCTCTTTGCTGAGCCAGTGAATGGCGGTGTCGGAGGGGGCACTGCAGGGCACACTGGACAGACCGCGCAACGAGCCTCCAGTCCTTGTGGTGTTTTCCCCCAGAGGAGAGAAAGCGGCTGTGGCTGGTGATAATGACCCTTGGCTGAGAGCAGGAGGCTAGGGGCCCGGGCGCAGACCCGAAGCCTCTGCTCCCGGTGGACCAACTATTGCGCGTCTGTACGCGGCTGGTGGCTCCGCAGGCAGAGAACGCCAGTGCAGCGAGGGCGCTCGGGGACACAGTCGGCTGCGCGGGGCGGGGCGGGGCGGCCACGAGTCGCAGGTGGATGACGCACCCGGGCCGGCGGAGAAGCAGCCACTTCCTAGAGCCGCCGGCCGGGGCCGCTCGCTGCACTCAGCGCCGGAGCCGGAGCCCACGGCCGCCGCCATGTCCCACCAGACCGGCATCCAAGGTAACGACGCTCGGCGCGGCCCGCGGGGAAGGGGCTCCCGGGAGGCCCAGCAGAGCTAGTTGGGCTGCGGGATGGGCAGGGCCTGAGTCGGGCTCTGGGCGCGGGGCGTCGGTCCCGCGGGGCGAGCCTGGCCTCTTCGCGTCTCCACGGTCCCGTGTCCCGGCGCTCCCGGCCTGCGTCCGTCTCAGCCCCGGCTCGAACGCCGCCACGTTGCAGACAGACCCGACTTTTAGAGGAACGGAGGAAATTGGTTTCTGAAGCGGCGGGGTTGAAGGGGCGTGCCTTCCACTGCCCCCGACATTAGTCCAACTTTCCCTCTCTCTTCATCAGGTAGGGAAGAGCTGGAACGGTGGAGGCGACTGGGGCTGGTACTGCTGTCGACAAACGGGGGAGTTCATTTCACGATCTAAAGACATTGTTAGAGACTTTGACCATAAAAAGAACGATTCCAGAATCTTGTGTATATATAGAAGGGTACTCTCCGAACTCTTAACGCATCCTCTTCTAAAATAGGAATATGAATTGTGTTCTGAGAAACCCTGAGGTGTGTTTCGACCTTTTTCCCAGGGTACTCCCCGGAGAAACTGTAAAGTCTAATGTATGTGACTGCATTTAATCATCTCGTGCAGGCAGTTGAATGTGCAATTATATCTGACGTCCATTATTTCCTGGTTTGAAAATGGGCAGTCTATAAGAGCTGACCTCGTCAAAATAAAATCATATAACCTGAGGTTACTCACTTAATGAGTTCTAATATAAACTAAGCCGTTCCCTTTCCCAGATGGACATTTAATCGTGTGTTTTAAAAGGGTCTTTAACACCACTACCACCACCACCACCGCGACACAAGTAAAACAGTCTAAACCTAAAAGCATTATTTTATTTGTGTGTATTAATTTTGACATTTCATTATGTAATTATTGACTACATGCTTGACTGTATGTATTGACTACATACCTTACAGCAGGCACGACTTACATAATGTGATTCTTGCTGTCAGAAAAGTAGCACAGGAATCAAACTAGAAGGAAATTGAAGCTTTCTAAATTAAAGAATGAACACAAGGATTATGTTATTAAACATATTTGTTCAGTGAGTTTACTCCAGCTTTTTGAGAAATACAAGGTAGAATGCATTTTATTGACTTTAATCTAGAGGATATTTACTGTTGTTTTTAATGGGAAAATTTAGAAAATATAGTACAGGAGGTGGCTATCGTAGGATTACAATTGGACTAAAAGAATGAAACCAAATTTTTAACATTTTCAAATGAATGAAAGTTGTTCTTCAAATTGTCGTGTGTCCATTATTGAATTTGAGTAGCTTCAATATATTTACTCCAGTGTTGTTTCTGCTATGGAATTATCTGGCTACAGCAGATTAGGATATATATATTTATATTTTAAAAGGATATTGACATTTTTTTATTTCTTGATTATACATTGTAATGATGTTATGCGTTTAAGCTTTATCATTTAAATTATTGGTAAGAGTATAAAATTTTTACACATTCAGGATTTTTTTCTTTGTATTATGTTTATTCCTTTCTAAGTAGCAAAGCAAAGTACTAACATATATGTTTAAAAAAATAGTTTTACTTTTGTTTATCTTTTATCACAGCTAGTGAAGATGTTAAAGATATCTTTGCCAGAGCAAGAAATGGAAAATACAGACTTCTGAAAATATCTATTGAAAATGGTAAGTTAAACGTTTAAAATTATCTCTTGTCCCTGGATTATTGGGTATCGTATTTCAAATTAATGTGAAAAGTTCAAAGCTTTCTGTTGGTAAACTTATCAGCCTTTAAGGTAACTTAGACCTGCACACTTTGGGCAAGTTCCCATGGGCCCATGCTTACCTTTGAATTGTGTAGCAGACTATCAGGGATATAGAAACATGTTTTTCAGTATGACGCCTTCCTATTTTACTTTTGTGTCTCAGTTTCTGCATCACATTTCATTTCTAATGTCAGTGTTTCCATATCTGGAATGGAAATCAGTAAACATCCAAAAATATAGTTACATGTTCATTGTTTTTCAGTAAAGTTAGTTTTAAAGTAGAAAAAGTATTTTTCAGACTCTCCTATTTTTTTCCACCTGATCGTAACCCACGCTACTGAAAAAGAAAGCCCAAAGCAAACTCCCTGCCTTTCAGTCAGATCTGACTTATAGCGACCTCTCCTCGGGTTTCCGAGGCAGTATCACTGCGGAAGTAGATTGCCCAATGTTCCTTAGAGGAGTGGCTGGTGGGTTTGAACCGCCAGCCTTCTCTTTAGCAGTCAGATGCCTTGGGCACTACGCTACTGGAGCTCCCGAAATGATTACTTTATATGTTATTCAGGGACAATTCTAAGGATGTAACAAACTTCTGTGATTCTTTTAAAATAATTCTGTAAGCAGTGAAAATGGTTGGAAAGAATCTTTCCATGACTACTTCAGGGAGATTTGAATTTGAGTAATTAATATTATAGCTACTTGATCATAAATGAATAATGTTAAAATAGTCCATTGGCCTAATTTAGTTAAGTACCTTAAAATATTTTTGCTTTGCAAAGATACCTAGTTCTTTCATAAACTGGAAGTAAATGTAATTTGCTTTCCGTTTTTTGCTTATATATTAAAATTATCAGGAATACTTTGTAAAATGTGCCGTAAAAATACCATGCATTTGAAAAATTGTTTTTCTCATATAGGAACGTAGATAAACGTTAAAGATCTGGTTAAATGAGCTCTAATTTCTATTTTATCATTTTTTAGCTAACTGTCGTCTTTAAGGAGGGAAAACACAACTATTTCTCAAACTATTATTTTCTGTTTTTTTATTTTGGGAAGATTTCTAAAATAAGGAAACTAAAAAGACCTATAATACAACAAATACCTGTATTTCCCCTTAAATTGATAATGCTAATATTTTATCATACTTGCTTCAAGTGTTTTTTTAATTTAATATTTTTTTCTGAAATTAACCAATTCTGTTTACTGACTTCCTTTCCCTAAGGCAACTACATTAAGAATTATTTTGTTTTGTTGTTACATGTATCCCCAAATAACAGCATTATTTTAAGTTTCCATAAATGACTATTCTACATCTTTCTGTTTTCTCTAAATGTTCCTTTTGGAATTAGTTTTGATACATGAGATATGCCATACGGATATTATTTACCTATTCCCTTATTGATGAACATTTAGTCTATTTCCAATTTTCATTGTTATCCATTGCTGTACATATGTGCAGCAGATTCTTTATGCAGAGTGTATTTTCAATTTTACTTGATTCTGCCAAATAGACCTTCGAAGTGGCTCTGTTTATGCTTCTACACAAATTTTTAATCTATACCATTATGGAAAAATAGGAGCTAAAACTGTTTTTATCCATGTTAATTTTAGAAGTTTCACTTTTGAGTGGTAGTACATCTATGTAAGTATCATTTGTTGAAAATTTATAGACATTTTGGAAAATAGAATCATTCATTATTTGGCCATCCAGCTCAACTAATATGATCATTTTTTTATGTTCCTTTTGTGTATCATTACCATATATATAACATTATTGTGATCAAGTAATATTAAAACAGTTTTTAATTCTGTTTTATATTGTAAGTATTTTCTGTTCTACCACTTTTTTCCTTTTAATTATTTAATAGGAATCATAATAATTATTAAATAACTACTTTTTAAAACTATAGTACTTTTCAGCTCACTGCCATTTGACATTTCAAACTGTTCCTGTATTTTTTAAAATTATTCTTCATAGAGCAACTTGTGATTGGTTCCTGTAGTCAACCTTCAGATTCATGGGATAAGGATTATGATTTCTTTGTTCTACCCCTGCTGGAAGAAAAACAACCATGCTATATATTATTCAGGTTAGATTCTCAGAATGCCCAGGGATATGAGTGGATATTCATTGCATGGTCTCCAGATCATTCTCATGTAAGTAATTTTTTGTAATACATTTAATATTAAATGTTAGAAAGAATTCTTTTTTTTTTCCTAAAATGTCCTAGGCCAAAAGAAGATTAAGAAGCAAAAATCATTTGCCATAAAAAAAGAACGATCATAGGGGAAGAAAAATCCTTGGATTGGTAATTTGGAATCAGGACTAATATTCTAGGAGTTAGAAATTTTGCTCTTGAAATCAAAATAATTGTTTATTTTAAACTTAAAAATGTGGCAATTTTAAGTGACTTCTGTGGGCCTCTTTAAAAAAAATCTACTTTGCTCTGAGAATAGTAATTACAATAATTCTGAGGGCTAATTGCACATCATACTAAATATTATTAATATTCACCATATATTACTAGTAGCTACCGGAGCTCTGGTAGCATAGTGGCTAAGAGACTTGCCTGCTAACCAGACGGCTGGCGGTTCAAACCCACCAGCCACTCCTCGGAAGGAAGGTTGGGCAATCCTACTTCCGTAGTGATACTGCCTTGGAAACCCAAGGAGGGGTCGCTATGAGTTGGGTTTGACTCGACGGCACATAACAACAACAACAACAACCGTTCAAGAAATAGGCACGTCACACATGTATTTCTTTAGAAAAGTTGGTTAGTAAATTGATAAATAGATAAAAAAAACTGCATTGATATATGAATATTGTCCATTATTTTGAAGATTAATTCCTGTATTTGTTATAGAATAACTTTTTTTTTTAACGTTAATCTCCATGTCTTTCTCAAAGGATCATCTTGCCCTCTTTAATTCCTCACATTCTATCTGAAAGAAATATTGTTTTTGCCTATGTAGGATTATGAAATTCTTTCTGTTGGTTGATAATTATGTTTAGTAATTCTTTGTAGATGTTAGTAGACCCTTTAATAATAATATATATTTCTTTTCATCTTTATGCCCCTCATAGAATCGTAGATGCCATAGGTACAACAAGAATATTTGATTCTTGAACAGCTTAATTTGTAGTACCTGGGTTTGCTTTGAGTAAAATGTCAGTATCTAGGTTACTTCATTTCAATGATGTTTTTTCCCCCATCTTTTAAAGTAGTTTTTTATTCTTCAGCTAATGTTATTCTTTGAAAAATGCGAAATTTTTTTAAAATTAGAATTTTCCCCTTTTTGAAAAATAAGACTTACACTATAAATTGAAATCTGCTTTAATAGCCATTGATGTAACTAACTCCTCCTTGTTAGGTGTCATTGAGTCAGTTCTGACTCAGAGTGACCCTGTGTGCAACAGAACAAAACACTTCCCAGCCCTGCACCATCCTCCAAATCCTTGTCATGCTTGAGCCCATCATTGCAGCTCCTGTGTCAATACATCTTGTTGAGGGTCTTCCCCTCTTTCGCAGACCCTCTACTATATTTACCAAGCATTGTATCCTTCTCCAAGGACTAGTCCCTTCTGACAGTATGATCAAAGTGTGTGAGATGAAGTCTGGCCATTCTTCTAAGGAGCGTTCAGGCTCTTGGACTTCTTCCAAGACAGATTTGTTAGTTCCTTTGGCAGTCCATGGTATTTTCAGCAGTCTTTGCTAACAACACAGTTCAGATGCTTCAGTTCTTCAGCCTTGCTTATTCATTGCCCAGCTTTCATATGCGTATGAAACTATTGCAAATACCAAGGCTTGCGTTAGATGCCCCTTAGGTTTCAAAGTGACATCTTTGCTCTTTAATATTTTCAGTAGGTTTTTTGCAGCAGATTTGTCCAGCAGAATATGGCATATGATTTCTTAAGTACTTAGATGCTCATTTTATGATTATTTGTATAAACATTTTAGCATATTAGTAGGTTTTAGCTTTTCACAGTTTATTTTTAATGCTTTCTTTTGTAATATGTTTTCATTTGTAAACTCAGTAAACTTTCACAACTATATAGGTTCGTCAAAAAATGTTGTATGCAGCAACAAGAGCAACTTTGAAAAAGGAATTTGGAGGTGGTCACATTAAAGATGAAGTATTTGGAACAGTAAAGGTACAAAACTTAAGTATTTATTAGTATTGGGCAATCTACTTCTGTAGTGATACTCCCTTGGAAACCATTGGAGGGGTTTCTATGAGTCAGATCCGACTTGACAGCAGTGAGTTTTTTCATGTTGCAGTTAAAATACTTTGAATAGACCTTCTAGGTAATAGATAAGTAATAAATAATATGAACTCAGATTAATATATAAGCATAAGGATAAGAGAAAATAATGTTATATTTAATGATATGTAGCTCTCATGGTGTAGTGCCTAAGGCATTTGACTGCTAACCAGAGGGCTGGTGGTTCAAACCTAGCAGCCACTCCTCGGAAGGAAGATTGAGTGATCTACTTCTGTAGTGATACTGTCTCAGAAACCCAAGTAGGGGTTGCTATGAGTCAGATCTGACTCCACGGCATTGAGGATTTTTTGAAGTTTACCAGTGAGTTTGTAATTTATTAATTACTTTGAATTTATTAATTTGTACCTATTTAACGTAACAAGTAAAATGGAAAAATTATACTTAGGCTTTTAAAATATGTTGGGGTGTTCTTTGTTAAATCATAGGTCATAGACTTCAAAAACTGAAACACACCTTAGGTCAACCCTTTCATCTAGTTCACAATTTTTAATTGTAGGAGGATGGAGAGATAGAAAAGTGAGGGGCTGCTTGAAAGAGACAATAATTTTTACATACCTTGAGCAGTTATACCCATTTTCTAGAAGCAGTAACTATATCAAGCTAAAATATTAAGGCATGTAAATTAATGGCTAAATTAATTTAAATAATTCATAAAATAATTGAGACAGTCAATTAAGATAAATAAATTAAGGTAAAGAATTCTTTGTCACAAAATTTATAAGGTAAATATATTTATTTATACATATACACTCAAATTAAGAAAATGGAAATACATTTTTTGAGTTGTTACAGGTTTTTTTGGAACTTTTATTCTAATTCAGAAACTAATATAATCTTGTGGAAAGAGCACAAGACTTGATGGGGATACATTGCTTGTTCACCATTAATTGTGACACTGACTCAATTCTATGAGTTTTGGTCTTCCAGACCACAAAGTTATAGGGATAAGTAGGCCTCTTTGGAGTATTTCTTTTTTTCTTTGAGTAGGAGCTCTGGTAGCATAGTGCCTAAGGCACTTGACTGCTAACCAGGAGGCTGGCAGTTCAAACCCACCAGCCACTCCTCAGAAGGAAGGTAGGGCAATCCTACTTCCGTAGTGATAACTGCCTTGGAAACCCAAGGAGGGGTCACTATGAGTCGGGGCCGACTCGACGGCAAATAACAACAACAACAACATAAGAACTGTAATAATTTTATATGAAGAATTGTAGAAGAATCACATAAATCATTGTAGTATAGGATTCATAGTCTGAGTATGTTGATTATGAATAATGATAAGGCAGGTTTCCCCAGCTAGTTAATTGTAATTGTCCTGTAGATTTGAAGCATGACCAGGTTCATCATGTAGCTGAACTCTCCAACTTCGTGTTCACAGAAAAGATTTACTCATTATAAAACTAGAAAATGAAGAGTCGATACTTCTCATAAAGGTTTGAAACCTGTAAAATAGAGAGTTAAGTATAAGAAAAGATAAAAAATTCTTAAAGTACTCTCACTGTGATTTTACTTAGACAATAATTGATAACTGTCCATTTCTGTACTTTCAGGAAGATGTATCACTACATGGATATAAAAAATATTTGTTATCACAATCTTCCCCTGCCCCGTTGACTGCCGCTGAGGAAGAATTACGACAGATTAAAATTAATGAGGTAAATTACAGCTTTGAAACACTCGGAAGATTTTAGTGTTTGAAAATACCATTGATAAATGTTGATAGGTAACGAGAAAATAAATGAGTGAGGGAGGGAGCTTGGGTTTGTTCAGCTTAGTATAGAAACGAGGCTGTGTTTAATGTGTTTTCAGGAAAAAGATGTTAAGAATGAATATTAAACCTCTTATCAATTCCATAAATAGCTTTTTTCTCTCTTTATAATGTATGTGCCAGAGTAGTAGTATATCTTCTTTTTGGGAATACACTTGTTTTTAACCTTGTACTTTGAAGAAATGGGAAAAGTACCCGTTTGATGTGAAGAATATTATAATAAGGTTGACTGAAGCAGGTTGTTTTGTTTTGTTATTTCAGGGACAAGTGATGACTAAAAAGAGTAAAGTCTAATTGCTATAGGATGTTTAGGATCTGTGGAAGGTCTAGAAATTAGTTTCAGTGAACATATAATAGAACAGTTATTTGATTACTTAACACATTAGAGTTAATGAATTTCAACCTTATTTTAGTATATCATATTTTCATTTATCTAATTATGAGTCAGAATAGCTATTATATTCTACTGCAGTTTTACAGAAAAGAAAACAAGTAGCAGTCACCACTATTAGAGGGAAATCAGTTTGGAAAGTGTTTGAAAATTTTTTAATACTAACCTGTAGCAAGGATCTGTCATTATACTATTTAACTTGAGTTATTTGAGTAGGACTTTTATTAATATTTTTACAAGTTTGATAGTTTGTTTTATTCTTTGCAATCAGAACCCAGAGGATCATATTGGGGTATGCATTTGCATATATTCTATAATGTTTCATTATCTAATATCATTTATGCTGTAGAATCTCCATTCATGTTTTTTTTTTAATTAAAATTTCTATTTGATTCTCTGTTGGAAGGAACACTGCAAATGAGACCCTAAACTAGCTATCATTTATCGAATATACATAAATCTTAAACTTGTGCATTGAAAGCTTTCTTGAAGTATCCTTCTCTCTTCCAGTACATGTGCACCTGTGTTCTAGTAAAGAAAGCTCTCTGTCTGGAACTTCTGCAGTAGTATAACTTGTTGAGCTGTACTGTGTCCTTGTATACTGTTTGTACTCCTTTCAATTCAGTGCATGGTGTCTGTGTTGCATTTTATGTCAAAAAGAACAAAGTGAAGCTTTATACAATAGTGTATGTATATCACATTGTTCATAAATTTTTATCAAGTTTTGTAATTATTGTTGTTATCTGATAACACTTTAAAGAGCTTTGTGTATCATTGAAATTTTACCAAAACAAAATATATAAGCAAACAAAATCCCCAAAGCCCCATGACCACAGCACACTCATTTAAACCTTCACTCCAGACATTTTCATGAAGATGTGTCATGCACTCTGCATGTTGACCAGTTGCTAGCAGGACCATGAACAAATGTGAACAAGAATTTTCTTTTTAAGTTCATAGTGTTTTAAGTGTTTCTTTTAATTATAGTTTGGGCAAGCTTTAAATGATGTTTACTTTATAGAGATTGGGTTTTCTTATTATCTTTGCCATATGACAATGAAAAATGCTAAACCCTTACCAGTAAATTAAATATCCTATCATATTTAGGTACAAACTGATGTGAGTGTGGACACTAAGCATCAAACACTACAAGGAGTAGCATTTCCTATTTCTCAAGAAGCTTTTCAGGCTTTGGAAAAGTTGAGTAACAGACAGCTCAACTATGTGCAGTTGGTAAGAGACGGAATGATTATTTAGAAATGCCTATTCTTACTAATAGGCTTGTATAAGGTTTATTTTCAACCAAGTTTGAATTTTTTTTTTTAAATTATAAAAAAAAATGTGTTTTGTTTGCTAAAAATCAAATAATACAGAACACTTTGTGTTATCTCCTCATTTAATACACATTTTTAAAATGAATTCTGTGTATCTGTTTTAATGAATATTTTCTTATTGACAGGAAATAGATATTAAAAATGAAATTATAATTTTGGCCAACACTACAAATACAGAGCTAAAAGATTTGCCAAAGAGGATTCCCAAGGATTCAGCACGCTATCATTTCTTTCTGTATAAACATTCCCATGAGGGAGACTATTTGGAGTCCATAGGTATATGATATATTATTTTTAACATGCTACTTTCAATTAATTTGTATTTCAGCAAGATATCCTTACTGATTTCTTGCCCAGAGGGCTTAGATGTTTTATGAGGCTTAATGCTTGCTTTAATTGATATACTGCTAATTTTAATTTTATTTTTATTTAGTTTTTATTTATTCAATGCCTGGATACACATGCAGTATAAGAGAACGGATGCTGTATTCCAGCTGCAAGAGTCCTCTGCTAGAAATCGTAGAACGAGAACTACAAATGGATGTAATTAGAAAGGTAGACCAATCTATTTATTTACAAATTTTCATTATTTATTAGAGTTTTTCTTCTCCATGTAGCTCATGATATATTGTGATTTATAAATAAAAGTATATATCTTTCTTGTTCAGGTCATAAATCCTTATAATCTCTGTTACTCTAGGTACCTGGGGATAATCTGTCATGACGTCCATCTCCCAGTAGATATGGTAGCCATGAACCACATGTGGTTACTTACATATAAATTACTTCCAATTAAATAAAATTTAAAAATCCAGTTCCTTAATTGTACTAGCCACATTTCAAGTGCTCATTAGCCACATGTGTCTAGTGGTTATTATATTGGATAGTATAGATTTATAGAATATTTCTGTCGTTGCAGAGAGTTCTGCTGGACAGTGTGCTGTAATTATTTCTGGACTCCTATGTTAATAAGATCTACAGTCTCCACTTAAAACTGTATGAATCATAGGATGACTGGGAGTCTTACTAATTGTTGGGGAAGGGGGTGAAATAGCGAAAGCATTTTTCCGATGCAGTAAATCTTTATGGAAGCAGATTGCTCTATCTTCCTTCTGTGCAGTGGCCGATGGGACTGAATTGCCAACCCTCTGGTTAGAAGTCAAATGCCTTAGGCACTACACCACCAGAACTCCTAAATATCAATTTTCTTAATTTTTGAAAAATTAAGTCCTTTAACACTTAAAACTACCAGTGTTTTAAGTTCTGAACCCTTCTAGTTTTTTAAGTTCTCAAGAATCCGCTTCTTGTTAGGTGCTGTAGAGTCAGTTTTGACTCATAGCAACCCTTCGTACAACAGAACAAAACACTGCCTGCTCCTGTGCCAGCATCACATCCTTGCTATTCCTGAGCCCATCACTGCAGCCACTGTGTCAATCTATCTTGTTGAGGGCCTTTCTGTTTTTCGTTGATCCTCCACTTTACCAAGCATGATATCCTTCTCCAGGGAATGGTTCCTTCTGACATGACCAAAGTAGGTCAGACGAAGTGTGGCATTCTCGCTTCCAAGGAGCATTCTGGCTGCACTGCTTCCCCTACAGATTTGTTAGTTCTTTTGACAGTCGATGGTACTTTCAGTATTCTTCACCAACACCACAACTCAAAAGCCTCAATACTTCTTTGATCTTCCTTATTCATTGTCCAACTTTCGCATGCATATGAGGCAATTGAAAATACCATGGCTTGGGTTAGGTGCACCTTACTCTTCAAAGAGATAGCGTTGCTTTTCAGCACTTGAAAGAGGTCTTTTGCAGCAGATTTGCCCAATGTAATTAATACTGATTTCTTGACTGATGCTTCCATTGGTGTTGATTATGGAGCCAAGTAATTATGGAAATCTTTGACAACTTCAATCTTTTCTCCATTTGTCCTGATGCTGCTTATTGTTCCAGTTGTGAGGATTTTCATGTTCTTTATATTGAAGTGTAATCCATACTGCAGACTGTAGTCTTTAATCTTCACCAGTAAGTGCTTCAAGTCATCCTCACTTTCAGCAAGCAGGGTTATGTGTCATCTGCGTATCACAGGTTGTTAATGATTCTTCCTCAGTCCTGATGCTGTGTTCTTCTGCATATAGTCCAGCTTCTCAGATTATTTGCTCAGCGTACAGATTGAATAAGTATGGTGAAAGGATAAAACCCTGACTTGATTTTAAACCATGCAATAGTATCCCCTTGTTCTGTTCAAACAACAGTTTCCTGGCCTATGTACAGGTTCCTCATGAGCTCAATTAAGTGTTCTGGAATTCCCATTCTTCTCAATGTTATCCATAATTGTTATGATGCACACAGTCGAATGCCTTTGCATAGTCAGTAAAACACAAGTAAACATCTCTCTGGTATTCTTTGAATCAACTTAGCAGCAGTCAGCTGACTTTTTCTACGAAGGGCCAGATGGTAAATATCTTGGGCCTTGCCAGACCACATGGGTTCTGTTGTATATTCCTTGTTTTCATTTTGTTTTTTTCACAGCTCTTAAAAAAATGTAAAAACTATGCTTACTTTTGGTTGAATTTGTCTTGCAGGTCATAGTTTGCTGACCCCTGTTTAGAGTGATCTCAGGTGATGAAAAGACCATGAGTAATGTTTCTTAAATATATCCCTAAAAACTCCTTCAGGTTGATTCTAACTCTATAGGATAGGGTAGAACTGCCCCATAAGGTTTCCAAGGCTATAAATCTTCATGAAAGTAGTCTGCCAAATCTTTCATCCATGGAATGGCTGGTGTGTTTAAACTGCTGACCTTTTGGTTATCATCCAAATGCTTTAACCACTGCATCACCTGGGTGCCTTTCTTAATTATATATCCGAATGTAAAAATGGCATGGTGGGGGCTTCTGATCTCCACTAACATCATGAGGAGAGAGAATCAGCATCAGCATCAGCCCAAGGCTGATTTCTGTGAAATAGAAGTCAAACATACCTTCTAACCTTTTTACCAATTCTGACATCAGCCATCCCTCCCATGGCACCCTTTACTTCTGTGTTGGGTTTGATAATTCGTTGCAATAGCCACACAGAACTCACAGACGATATTCAAAATTATGGGATGTATTTGGGAAGCAACAGATTACAATTCAGGATTAGGTACGACTAGGATATAGTTCTTCAGTGAGGTCAGCTTCTTCTTACTGTGCCTGAGGGCCATCCTCTGTAGCTCTTGTCCCCTTGGTCCCTACTATACCTGGGCAAAGCTCTTTAGCTCTGCCAGTAAGCCTTGGCCTGAAGGCACTAAGCTCTCTCTCACTGTGTGTCAGGAGCCTAGCTTCGCCAAGTGCTAGAGGCACCCTGCTCTACTAGTAAGCCTTTTGCTCCAAGGCACACTCAGCTCTTTGGCTCAGTAGGTCAGCATGTCAACTGTAGCCACCTTGCTTCATGGGCAAGGAAGCCCACCATGCCATCTTGCGCTGGTGTCCTGGTTCTGCTGCCACCATTTCTCTGCCAGTGCTCCTCAGAGCCTTTGCTGTCTTGGTGTTACAGCTCTTTCTTTGTCTCCTGGGACTAGGAGGTTTTCAGCATAGGGACCCTGGATCCAAAGATTGCTCTGCTCCTGGCTCTGCTTCTTGGTGGTAGAGAGGCCCTCTCTTTCTACCGCTGGAAAGGCTCATTTTAAGCCAAGCAGGATGCCAAACTGACCAATCTCATTAGAGTTTCATATACCATATTTGCATGGTACCATTTGCAAGGGTTCTATACACCTTATTTGCGTAGTTCATTCAGTTATTCTGTGGGAGTTACAAGATCATGACAAGAAAGGCCATATAAAAGTGATCAATCACACCACACCAAGTAACTTGAGAATATAGCGATGGCTTCTGTTTTTAAAGATTAAATTGAAGCAGTATGAAGAAACCAAATAGAATTGGTTGTAACTGATTATCTATTCAAGTAACTCATGTAGCCCCCACCCTTCAAAAACAAACTACTTATGTATGATGCTGATTGGAATGGGTGTTTTGTATTTATTTATGAGCATTTGTATTCATTTCACACTTCAAAACTGACTTGTTCCTTGTATTAGGTTGTGCTTATATTGAATGTTACACTTTTTTATATTGCATTACATTATTAATCTCATCTTTTACAGATCGAGATAGATAATGGAGATGAATTGACTGCAGACTTCCTTTATGAAGAAGTACATCCCAAGCAGCATGCACATAAGCAAAGTTTTGCAAAACCAAAAGGTCCTGCAGGAAAAAGAGGAATTCGAAGACTAATTAGGGGTCCAGCTGAAACAGAAGCCTCTACTGATTAAAATGATTATATTAAGCATTACAATACTAGTTTTTTAAAAGTCTAGCTTTTAGTACAGGAGAACTGAAATCATTCCATGTTGATATAGTAGAAAAAAATTGTAATTTTTCAAAATTAGCACTTTTCACTTGTGTGTTTTTAAAATTAATGTTATAGAAGATTCATGATTTCTATTTTGAGTTAAAGCTAGGAAAGGATTCAACATAATATGTATAATTCTGGCGCACTTTTCATAAAATGATGATTCCACACTTTCACATAATTCTTAAAATTTTATAGTTGGGCTAATTTCAGAAAGTCTAACGTCTCAAAGTAGGATATACTGAATAATACTCTTTAGGGAGATATTTTTTTTTCTAAGAGGGAATACCTTAAATTATTCATTCTACTTACTGAGTACATTAAGGACCAAGTTGGATTATTTTCTAAGATTAAAATTTAGTGTGCCTTGGAAAAGGCAGAAAGTTGCTTTTTCTGAGGAATAATGCTGTCAGACAGTCATGTCTGCAACTTTTAGAAACATAGTGCTTTACTGCAGCAGTGTTTTCTATTTGGCTTTTTGTTTTTTAATGGCATTGATATTTTGGAAGATCATTCTCAAACTTTACCAAAATTAAACCCATTGCCATCAAGTCTGTTCTGACTCGGCTATCCTATAGGACAAGGAGCTCTGGTGCTGCAGTGCCTGAGGCATTTGGCTGCTAACCAGAAGGTTGGCCATTCAAACCCTCCATGAAAGGAAGATGAGGCAATCTAAATCTACTTAAAGATTTATTGTTGGAAACTTAGTAGGGGTCACTGTGACTCAGAATCAGCTGGATGGCAGTGAGTTTTGTTTTTTATCCTATAGGATAGAGTAGAACTGCCCCATAGGGTTTCCAAGGCTAAGTCTTTACGAATGCAGACACCACATCTCTCTCCTGCAGAGCAGCTGGTGGGTTAGAACTGTAGACCTTTCGGTTAGCAGCCAAGTGCTTTAACCACTGCACCATCAGGGATCTTTTTCCAAAACCTGGAGGGTACCACATAATTTCTGCAGGATTTCTTAAAATGTTGAAAGACATGTTTAAACAGTTTTAGTAAATTTCTTTCTAGTGCATTAAAACAATTTAAATTTTAAAAGTAAGCCATTTCATTATAAGTACTATGAGGCCAAATATATGTTCATATTTTATTTTATATTATCATTCAAAATCAAACAACTAATCAGAAAGGTTGGAAAAGTTTTAAACATTAAGATTGGGTTTTTTCCTTCAAAACCATGTTTATGAGCAAATACTAGATTTAATAAAATCATTTTAAAATCATAGTTTTTATCAGCCAAAAACATAAAAACTTAACAATTTTGTTTGAATTTGTATCCTATTTCAAAACACTTAACTCTGCTAAAGCTCTGTGTTTTCCGTTATAATTTAGAGACATTTTGAGCCTCATTTTTCTCTGATACTTGAAATAGAGGGAGCTAGAACACTTCATCATGTTTAACCTGTTAAAACTGCTGCAAGAGCCAGAACTTTGTGTACTTGTTTTCTAGTGAACTGAAGGGATCCAGGATTTGGGATTTATTGATCTAAACTTGATGCTGCAAAGAACTATCAGAAATGCACATTTCATAGTATAAAATATGAAGCACTCATTTCTAAACCTTATTATCTAAGGTAATAGATGCACCTTTCAGAAATCCAGTGTGTGTTCAAGTAAGTAAAATATATTAGAATAATGGGTTGACAGATTTTTTTTAAAGGTAGACTTTAGAGTATTTGTGTGAGGTTCTGCTTGTTTACAAAAATCAGACTATAATGTTCAGACATGCAAAATAATTGACAGCAATGTTGCACTTGTTTACTAAATATATACTTTAAGTTGTTCTTTAGGTGCACACAATCACACATACACACTAATTACTGCATTGAGAACCTTGGAGCTGTGTTGGCAGACCATAGCTGCAGCTGTTATTTTCAGTCAGGAAAATTGTTCACCTATTATGATGGTATAAAATAATTCAGTAGTGAATGTTATTCTGCACCATCCATGTGCAATTTCACTCTTAAATTCCACTACACTACATGGAAGTAAATGGACATTCCAGAATATAGATGTGAGTATATAGTCTTAAACTAATTATTATTGAACCAATGATTGCTGAAAATCAGTGATGCATTTGTTATAGTCATCGTTTACAGTGTTTTAGGTGGTATCATAACAATAGATGGTGAATAAAGTATTCCCAATAAATTTATATAGCAATGAAGAATTACATGCTTTCTTGTGTACATTTTGTAAGTGCATTTTATATCACAATAAAATTTTTTTTCTCTTTAAGTTTTATATGTTCTAAGTTGGTTTTCTATAACCCCTTTTTTTTAATATTTGGATAATTCTGCATAATTCAACATGCAGTAATAGGTTAAAAATCTCATTGATTTATTCATTTATTAGCTTAAGTCCAAAAAGAATTTTAAGTAGTTTATAATTCTAAGGTATGTGTTTATGTATCTATTATGTTGGAAACCTGAGCCAAGCCAAGAGTAGTTGTGACAATAGAGTGCTTAATTTAGTTGAGAACGTCCCTACTGCTGAACCAGTAATGAAAATGCTGTTACATGTTTTATACTCTGATAGAAGAACTCCAATATGGTAAGAGTGACCTGCTTGGCAATAAATTGTTGAGACATTCATCTAACAAATACTGAATGTGTTCCTATTGTGTGTAATTCAGTAATATCAAATGGACCCTTTCTATTAGGGCTTTGTTATAAAATGAATGAATGGTAGCAGTTTTACAAATAATGCAATATCCTTAAAAGTGCTAATTAAAAGTTGAAGAGTATTACTAAAATTTTAAGTTTTCTATGGCATTTCTACTCAGAACTAAAATAATGTACTTGAGGTATTATAAATAATTTGGTATATATCTTTTTATACATCTTTACATGTACAGCTATACATTTTAAGAATGAGAGGTTGTACAACAAGCAGCCCAGAAACAGGGCTTTGGGCAAAAGTTACAATTCTATGGTCAGCCAAAGACGGAGCTCTGGTAAACCTTACACATAATGGCCAGGGATGTTCAAGAACCATCCACTGAAAGTAAAGGTGAACAGGATGTAAAATAGATTATCAGACTGGATTTACAAAAACTACATGCTGCACATGAAAGACAGATTTAAGACATAAGGTAAAGAAAGTGATTTACCACATAAATGCCAAAAGAAAGATGGTTCTATTGGTCAAAAAGACTTTAAGTCAGAAAACATTAAGTGATGCATTAAGATGGAGACTCTGTAGTGACAAAAGTTCAGTTCACTAAGAAGCTATAACAATTATAAAGTTAAAAGCAAAATTTGACAAAATCACAAAGGATAAAAGGTAAATATAATCAGAGGAAAATTTTAAAAACCTCGGATAGAAAAGGATAAAAATCAGTAATAACAGTTATTTGAACAATTAACAATTTGACCTAATGAATATGTATATTGAAATACAGACAACACTGTTTTCAAGCATACATGGAACATTAAAAATTGAGTATATACTGAGCCACAAGCAAATACTGAAATCACAGGATATGGTCTGTGATTACAGTGCCACTGAGCTAGAAATGAGTATCAAAAAGTTTACTAAAACTTTCTATATATTTGGAAATTAAGAAATACACTTTTAAATAATCCATGTAACAAATCACAATGGAAAAGAGAAAGTACTTTGAAATCAATGATAAAAATCCTATAAATCCAAACTTTGGAATGCAGCTAAAATCATGCTTAGAGAAAACCTTTTATGTGTCTCTATTTATATATCAGGAAAAAAGGCCACAAATTAATGAGCTGGGAATTCAATCTTAACAAGCTGGAATAGCACAACACACACAAACAATTAAAGACCAAAAAAGAGCAGAAAGCGATGAAATACACTTTAAAATAGAATCAATAAAACCACAAGTGGATATTTGAAAAATTTAATGAAATAATATGTAAGCCCCTGGTGAGACAAAGGAGCTCTGGTGGCGTAGTGCCTAAAGCATTTGACTGCCACCAGAAGGCTGGTGGTTCAAACCCACAAGCCACTGTTTGGAAGGCAGACTGGGCAATCTACTTCCGTAGTGATACTGCCTTGGAAACCCAAGGAGGGGTTGCTATGAGTTGGATCCAACTCGATGGCTGTGAGTTTGGTTTTTGGTTGGTGAGACAGAAAAAGGAAGAGAGAGGCAGGGGAAAGGAGTGGATGGAGAGAATGAGAACAAAGAATGTCAGGAATGAAAAAGGGGACATCATTTAGGAGGATGCAGGACCTAAGTGGTTATTACATAACCACTTGACACAAAGTGAGAAATCTGGATGAAATGGATGCATTCTTAGGCCAAAACCAACCAAATATATGTGTGTGTGTGTGTGTTCTTTAGTCTAAAATATCCTGTAATTTAACTAAAGAAATTGAACTTGCAATTAAAGACTTTCCCAGATAGCTTATTGGGGAATTCTACTTAAGATACACTAACACTAATTTTACAAACTCTTCCAGATAATAGAAAAAGAACACTTTCCATAAGATCATTTTATGAAACCAGCATAACCTTGACAGCAAACCTGCCAAGGACTTAGCATAAAGTAAAATTACAGGAGTCTCTCTCATGAACATCATTTGAATTTAGTGACATATTAAAAAGATATTATGGCACAGCCAAATTATTTTTCCCAGAAAAGGTTGGCTTAAAATTCAAATATCAATATATTTCACCATACTAATAGAATAAATTGGAGCTCTGGTAGTGTAGTGCCTAAGGCACTTGACTGCTAACCAGAAGGCTGGCAGTTCAAACCCATCAGCCACTCCTCGGAAGGAAAGTTGGGCAATCTACTTCCATAGTGATACTGCCTCAGAAACCCAAGGAGGGGTCGCTATGAGTTGGGTCCGACTCGACGGCACATAACAACGATAAAGGAGAAAAATCATGTGGTCTTTTCAATAGGTGAAGAACTGTTTGAAAAGATTCAACATTCGTGATTAAAAAGCATCTAAGAAAATGTGTCACATAATCTGGAACACAATGTTTCTTCTCCCAAGACAGTGGTAGAAACTTAATGACAGTGTTATTCTTGGCTCTTTTGCCAATTCACCCAAAGGCCTTCTGATAACACATCTCACAACAAATAAAGCTTTATTTTTTCCAAGTTACAGTACATTCTAGTTACTCCTCTCTGAGACTACACACGGGTAGCTTTTGTTTGAGCTTGGGTGTTCCCAAAGGTTCTCAAAACCAGGTGATCTCTGTAACAGCCCAGTTGGGTGTTTCTAATAATATACTTAATACTACCTGCTATTGTTTACTATTTCCATTTGAAAGACTTTCTCCAGAGAACAAGCTCAGTATTGTTCATTATTGTATCTGCATTACTTTTAGAAGTTCCTGACCTATAGAAAATAGTCAATAACTATTTGTTGAATTGATTTATTAACTGCTGTTTTAGGTGGGAATATGTCATGAGATGACTTTCCTAATGTCATCAGAAAAATGACATCTTAGTATTCTCTTTGTAGATCAATTACTGTTGCCTCCCTATTGACTATCTTTGAGATTGGAATTTTAATGACTAGAAAACCAATTCCGATTTGTCTCCATTTTTGAAATGGAATACTACAAACTCCAAAGGACCATTTATAGCTGAGATCAATGGCTGTTTTACATGTACATAGCTCTAAATGCCTTAAAAAGTTCTGTTTCTCTTAATCTTTATGTTGGAAAAATAAACATTGACCAATTGTTCCCACTACTTGCTTGTTCCTCATAGAAGATATTAAGTTGGCAAAAACCTAACAAACCAATGGGTCAGAAATACAGAAAAACAGTTTTTCTTTTTGGAAATGGGGAAGGCCAGTTGTTCTCAACTATGTTGTCATCACATTAGTTTATCACAGTCAGTTACAGACAACATTAAACAGAGCATCAGTTTTTCAAAACTTGTCATTTTTTTAAAAATCATGGTTATTTTTCTGTTTCCATAAAAGATAAAACCAACTGCTAGAACTGATTCCAACTCATGGCAACCCCATGTGTGGGGAAGCATATTACAAACGAAGTTTTAAAAAAAAATTCAGGAATATGTCACCACAGATCTTCAATATCTACCTTGAGGGAAACAGTAGCAAGGAGTGCCCATTATGCCTTCACAATCTTTGTGGAAGTCAGCTTGGGTGCAAGCTGAAGGCAAGCCCTATCTTTCACTCCCATAGCTAAGTGAGTCACACAAGTTCAGGAGTCCATGACAGATCAGACACCATCAGGCAAAGGGAGTAACAAGTAACTGTTGTTTACACCTGCCTTGGTATCTTGAATTTACTGTATTGGTAACTTCAAAAGAATCAAGGTCCAGTCTTAATGCTGAGAGGGATTGTCGTAAAATGAGTTCATACAGACTTTTGCCTTGGTTCTTTGGAAAAACAGCTTAAGAGATTTTTTTTCCCTTAAGCCCCGAGAAGTTACCTTTGTCTTAGTTTTCTACCCAGAAAACTTTTTGTCCAGGTTGATTGACATTTCCTGGGCTAGGTGTAAACAACTTGTTTTGATACTTTCTGCCTGGCCTTGGGCTATAGCCTGCTTTGACTGGTATACACCTTATAGGAATTGGTAAACAGACTTACATAAATGATGTGACTAGTAGTCCATCCATGCCTACTATGCAAATGAAGTGCCTGTGACCAAGAGAGAAGGTATTGATAAGGGACCGATCAGTTTGTGGTCTTGGTAGTAGGGCCCACCCTGGAAAATAGCCCTTTTGATTATTCACAGTTAGCTGATTAGGGACCTTAATTACATCTGCAAAATTCTGTCACCATTGCCATATAAAATAATCTAATCACAGCCATATCTTGGGAGTATCATCAGGGGATATTTGGTTTGTGAATAATTACTTAAAATAGTAAACTCTGAAAATGATTCCACAAGCACATGACTGTAATCCAATTAACTAGCTTTATAATCTTTAAATTTTATATCACTTTACATTTTACAAAGTGCTTATACATATTCTACCTCATTTGATTTTTTATGACTACCTGTCAGAGAGGCAAAGAAAGTATTAATTTATCCAAAGCAACAGGTAAAAAAATACCCATGGCTCAAAGGCACTGAGCTTGCCCAAAGCCCTACAGCAAACTAGCAGCCGAGCTGGGCTTCAGGCCAAGGTCTTTTGACTCTATATTACAGTGTTCTTTTTACTCATCTTAAAGTTTTCAAACTGTGTTTGGTGAAACCCTAATGTTCCAAACAGATGTCTCAGAAATTACTGTAGGAACTGAGGGTGACACTAAAGAAGGTAGGGCTAAATGTGGATAATATAGCTACTTTGACCTGTTCTACACGTTTGGTTTGAAAAGCACTACACTATACCATGTTGCCTAAAGGTAAAGAAGAATGTTTACAAAAATATTTAGTTTATAAAATATGGTTTGTATAACTGTATGTTAAAAGCCAAGAGTCTATTCCAATAAGGTTTTAAGAAATCATGAACTTGTCATCTCCTGCAGCATCTGTTGAACCTAAAAAAGAAAGAAAAAAGAACCACATTAAGTAATTGTTTTGAAATATACATCTAGGTAAAAACTAACCCCATACCCTTCCTTCTTAAGTAAATGCAAAAATTTAATACCTTCTTAATGTCTGGTCTCTTATTTTTCTTTTCATGCAGACACTGACTAGCAACAGTGTACATAGTTTCAACTGAACTGGAATCAAAGTCATTCATCTTCATATCAATATAATCTTCAATTGTCTTTTCTTCATCTTCAATTTCTTCTTTGATATCTAGCTTTAAAATGCATGTTAAAACTTTGTTACAAGTTTCAAATAAAAGTGAAAAAAGTTACAATATAAATTTAAATTATTTAACCTACTTCATAAAGAAAGGAGCTCTGGTGGCGTGGTGCTAAAGGCATTTGACTGCTAACCAGAAGGTTGGTGGTTCAAACTCACCAGCCACTCTGTGGAAGGAAGCCTGGGCAATCTACTTCCGTAAAGATTTACCGTCTCAGAAACCCAAAGGGGGGAATTAACTTGATGGCAGTGATTTTGGTTTTTCTTCTTCATAATAACATGTATTTTCAGTTGACCATCAGCCTTTATAGGCTTAAGAATTGAAAATGTATATACAAGAGTAGTCCTAAATATCTATATATTAATTAATTTTTGCCTCCTAGATCCTAATTTTTGTAATTATGTTACTGAGCTAATTACTTTCATGTTTCTATTAGTAGCATTTATGAGGCTGGCAGCACAGGGTGGTCTGCTTCTTAATGTGCGTCTAATAACGTGTTTCCAGCTTCAAAACTCTGCCTCCCTCTCCCTGCACTCAGAAAACTTCGCTGTGGGTACTCAGTTTGTTTAACCAAAAAGTAAAAGGGAGAGGGGGTAGGACAGGCAAGGGTCAAGATGAGAAAACAGAATGAATGAAGAGGGAGGTGCAGGACTAGGATGAAAAAGACTTATGTGAGGTAGCCTGTTAAACACTCCAAAAACATTGATAAAAGGAATTTTGAAAGTGTTTGAGCAATAGCAGAAGCAAATAATTAGGAGGCTCTTTAAACGATCGCTCTCTTTTAGCTGCATTTGTATTAAAATCTTATTACTTTATGGTCATACCATATTCAAATCTTAGGAAAGTGTATAACCTCCCTCAAGTTTTAGGATGTTTACTATTATAACTGCCAAAAGAACAAACAAGTCTTTCCTGGAGGAGGTGTAGCAGGAATGCTCCTCAGAAGCAAGAATGGCCAGACTTTGACTCATCTGCTTTGGTCATGTGGTCACAAAGGACCAGTCCCTGGAGAAGGATATCATGCTTGGTAAAGTGCAGTGTCAATGAAAAAGGAGAAGACCCTCAATGAGACGGACTGACACAGTGGCTGTGACGAGGGGCTTAAGCATGGTAATGACTGTGAGGATGGTGCAGGACTGGGCAGTGTTTTGTTCTGTTGTACTACACAGGGTCACTATGAGTTGGGACTGACTTGATGGAACCTAACCACAAATCCTCAGAATGCACAAGTAGTGGGACTCCAGGGCATATCCTGATCCCCACAGGATCTTTCCTTCTCCTCCTCTGGCTTCATTCACCTACCCAGCAGCTGTGCGGGCTTTCCCTCCTAGGGCAGGACAGTGCCTGCCACAGAGCCTCTGCTCTAGCCAACTTTTCACAAGAGCTTTAACATTATATCCTACATGTTCATCTGATTATTCTATTACATGATCATATTTCCTATACATCATGGACAGCTTTACAATGCACAGCTTTATAATGGGTACTTGTATGCAATATAACATGTAAATATTGTTCTTATAGGGTTTCACAGTGGTTAAGAGCTTGACTAATAACCTATAGGTCAGCAGTTTGAACCCCCAGGCACATCACAAGAGAATGAGGCAATCTGCTTCCTTAAAGATTATCAGCCTTGGAAACCCTATGAGATAGTTCTACTCTCACCTATAGGGTCACTGTGAGTTGGAAATGACTTGGCAACAGGTTATTGTATTTATGGTTTTTCTCAAGGGTATGCTAGCAGAGTAAAGCTTTCAGGACCCCCATTTGCTGATGGTGGCACATCTCAAGAATAAACAGCTGCAAACATCCATTAATAATCCAAACATGGAATGTATGAGCATGAATCTAGGAAAACTGGAAGTTGTCAAAAATGAAATGGAACACATAAATATCAGTGTCCTAGGCATCAGTGAGCTGAAATGGACTGGTTTTGGTCATATTGAATCAGATGATCACATGATTTACTATGCTGGGAATGACAAACTGAAGAACAGTGTGGCATTCATCATCATAAAGACTATTTCAAGATCTATCCTGAAGAACAATGCTGTCAGTGATAGGATATTATACTCCTCCAAGGAAGACCAGTTAATATTACTATTATTCAAATTTACAAACCAATCACCAAAGCCAAAGTGGAGGAAACTGAAGATTTTTGCCAACTTCTGCAGTCTGAAACTGACCAAACATGCAAAGAAGATGTGTTAATTATGACTGGTGACTGGAATGAAAAAGCTGGAAACAAAGAAAAATCACTGGTAGTTGGAAAATATGGCGTTGGTGACAGAAATGACACTGGAGATTGCATGATAGAATTTTGCAAGACCAACGACTTATTCATTGCAAATACCTTTTTTCAACAACACAGACAGCAGCCATACATGTGGACTTCACCACTTTCCTAAGATTTGATACACAGGAATCAGACTGACCACATCTGTGGCAAGAGGTGATGGAGAAGCTCAGTATCTTCAGCCAAAACAAGGCCAGGAGCTGATTGTGGAACAGACCATCAACTGCTCATATGCAAGTTAAAGCTTCAGTTGAAGCTGACAATTAAAAGAAACCCATGAAAGCCAAAATATGACTTTGATTATATTCCTCCTGAATTTAGAGACCATATATTTAAAGAATAGATTTGATGCACTGAACACCAATGACTGAAAACCAGAGGAATTGTGGGATGACATCAAGAATGTCATCCATGACAGAAGCAAAAGGTCATTAAAAAGACAGAAAAGAAAAATAAAAAAGATAAAATGGATGTCAGAAGAGACTCTGAAACTTGCCCTTGAATGGAGTAGCTAAAGCAAATGGAAGAATCGACAGGATAAAAGAGCTAAACAGATTTCAAAGAGCAGCTTGAGAAGACAAAGTCAATTACTACAATGAAATGTGCAAAGACCTGGAGTTAGAAAAGCAAAAGGGAAGAACATGCTTGGCATTTCTCAAGCTGAAAGAACTGAGGAGAAACTGTAAGGCTCGAATTCTAATACTGAAAAATTCCATAGGCAGTATGTTGAATGATGCAGGAAACATCAAGAAGATGGATGGAATACACAAAGTCACTGTATCAAAAACAACTGGTAGAAGTTCATCTGTTTCAGGAGGTGGCATATGATCAAGAACCAATGGTAATGAAGGAAGAAGTCGAAGCTGCACTGAAAGAAGTGGCAAAAAACATGGCTCTGGGAATTGATGGAATACCCACTGAGATGTTTCAACAAACAGATGCCCCACTGGAGGCACTCACTCGGCTATGCAACGAGATTAGGAAGACAGCTACCTGGCCAACTGACTGGAAGAGATCTATATTTATACCCATTCCAAAAAAGGTGATCCTACAGAATATGGAAATTATTAAACAATATCATCAATATTGCATGCAAGTAAAATCTTACTGAAGATAATTCAAAAATGGTTGCAGCAGTATATTGGCAGAGCACTTACAGAAATGCAAGCTGGATTCAGAAAGGGATGTGGAGAGAGGGATATCATAGCTGATGTCAGATGGATCATGGCTCAAAGCAAAGAATACCAGAAAGATGTTTGTGCTTTATTGACTACACAAAGGCATTTGATTGTGTGGATTGTAACAAATTGTGGATAACACTGAGAAGAATGGGAATTCCAGAACCCTTAATTGTGCACGTGAGGAACTGTACATAGACCAGGAGGCTGTCATTCAAACAGAACAAGGGGATAGTGCATGGTTCAAAATCAGGAAGCGAGTGAGTCAGTGCTGTATCCGTTCACCATACTTACTCAACCTGTATGCTGAGAAAACAATGTGAGAATCTGGACTATATGAAGAAGAACGTGGCATCAGGATTGGAGGAAGGCTCATGAACAACCCGAGATACGGAGATGACAAAACTTTGCTTGCTGAAAGTGAGGATGACGTGGAGCACTTACTGTTGAAGATTAAAGAATACAGTCCGCAGTATGGATTACAGCTCCATATAAAGAAAACAAAAATCCTCACAACTGGACCAGTAAGTACCATCATGATAAATGGAGAAAAGTTTGAAGCTGTCAAAGACTTAAAATTTCTTGGTTCTACGATCAATGCCAATGGAAGTAGCAGTCAAGACATCAAAAGATGTATTGCATTGGGCAGATCTGTTGCAAAAGACCTCTTTCAAGTGCTGAAGAGCAAAGATATCTCCTTGAAGACTAAGATGCGCCTAACCCAAGCCCTGGCATTTTCAGTTGCCTCATATGCATGTGAGAGCTGGACAATGTATTAAGGAAGACCGAAGAAGAGTTGATGCCAGACTTTGTCTCACCTACTTTGGTCCTGTTGTCAGAAGGGACCATTCTCTGGAGAGGGATGTCACGCTCGGTAAAGTGGAGGGTCAACAAAAGAGGGGAAGGCCCTCAACAAGATGGGCTGACACAGTGGCTGCAACGATGGGCTCGAGTATGGATCATGAGGCTGGCACAGGACAGGGCAATGCAATGTTTCATTCTGTTGTACATAAGGCTGCTTTGAGTTGGAGACGACTTGACAGTACATAACAACAACATGCCAAGAGATGCCTGGGTGGATATATTTATTATACCTTTTGACTTCCTAATACCCATTCTGGTATATGTACTTACCTGAATTTGTTAACACTAGTTTGTCTCATTAGAAACCATAAATTAGAATGAAAGACAGTGTAGTTATTTAACTAATACAAGAAAAATTTATGCATGCTAATAAGGAGTCCTGGTGGCACAGTGGTAAACGCACTCAGCTGCTAATGAAAAAGTCAGTGGTTTGAATCCATTTATAGCGCTGGAAACCCTATGAGGCAGTTCTACTTTGTTCTATAGGGTTGTGGAGGTATTCTGTAATTTTTTAATTTTACAAAAGGACCATCTAAGTTCTTAAAATTTACTACATAGGAAAAAAAGGGCTGCTTTAATTTTCCTATAATTTTAGCTTTCAGTTCATCTATTTTATGTAACTGTTAGAATCTCTGTGTTTTCCTTAATATATTTGGCTGTTAATCAGAAAGCTGGAGGCTCAAGTTCACTGAGGTGCCTCAGAAGAAAGGTCTAGCAATCTTCTTCCAAAAAGTTAGCCAAAGGAAACCCTATAAAGCACCGCTCTACTCTGGCATACATGGGGTTGCTATCAGTTGGAATCAACTTTATGACAACTGTTTTTTTTTTTTTTTTCAAAATATGTAACTGTCAATAGATGCCTAATCAAACAAACTAGGTAGTTTTATATAATTTTATAAATAAAATAAAAATGGAGAGAAAACTTTTACTATCAATTCTATCCTGACAAAATTAGAACGGAAGACAAGTTATTTTGCCATTAGTAACCATCCCGAAAGTAATAAAATAAACTGGAGAAAACCTCAGAAATCATGTAGTTTCATTCTAAAAGAACTACAACACAGAATAAGTAGCTCTGGTAGCATAATGCCTAAGGCATATGACTACTAACCAGAAGGTTGGTGGTTCAAACCCACCAGCCACTCTGTGGAAGCAAGACTGGGCAATCTACTTCTGTGAAGATTTACTGCCTTGGAAATCCAGTGGGGTTGCTGTCAGTCGGAATCGACCTGATGGCAGTGGGTTTGGTTTTTGGTAGAATGAAGAATATATAATTGACTTCTCAAGACTCACAAATACTTCACGGTAGAGCTGAGATTGTTGTTGTTGTTATGTGCCGTCGAGTCAGCCCTGACTCATAGCGACCCCTCCTTGGGTTTCCGAGGCAGTATCACTACGGAAGTAGGATTGCCCAACCTTCCTTCCGAGGAGTGGCTGGTGGGTTTGAACCGCCAGCCTTCTGGTTAGCAGTCAAGTGCCTTAGCCACTATGCTACCAGAGCTGAGATTAGAAATATTTAATGTTCTTTCCATATAATATCATGCAATTGCCAGTGGAAAGATGCCAATAGAAAATTCCTTTTTTAGATGGCCAAACTTACCCATATAAATTTAGACTATAAATCCAAAGAAAAAAGATCAGAAAAAAGAATGCGTCAATTACCAATAACTGGGGTTCACGGTGTTCATCCACAGCTGGAAGTCCAGTTATTATTTCTAGTAAAACCTATGAATATAAAACAAATCCTTTAACACTCAGGACAACATTGAGAAATTAGGACATATGGACCTTGACAATAAAATGTGATAAACTGTTTCTGTAAAAAGTATAACTTTGTTATAAAAGTAGAAAGAACATGAGCTATGGGCACATGTCCCCACCCTTCTTTCATGAACATCTTGGATGCCACCCATACTCATAAGCTCTTTATTTGGCAGCTTAATGAAGAATCAGTTCTACTCAACATGTATTCTGGGAATTCCCAGTCCTTTTATTTCCTATAGGGGATTCTTCACAAGAATATTATTTTCTAAATGATGCTGAACAGGTTTCAGTACTGCTTCCCAATTAAGATGGACTAGGAAAAAAAGCCTGGTAATCTTCTTCCAAAAATCAGTCAATGAAAACCCTATGGACCACAATGGTTTGATGAGCAACCAATCATAGGGATGGCAGAGGGCGAGGCAGTGTTCTGTTTTGTTGTGCATGGGGGTTGCCATGAGTCAGGGCAGACTTGATGGAATAACAACAACAACAAGGGAAGGGTGTAATATATCCCAGTGCCTTACTTCACAGTGCTACTTGAAATACAAGTTAATAGGAACAGACTGGTAATCACAAAATGTTGGTATACTTCCTTAAGAAAATACTACATTTTTAAAATGTGAGACTAAAGTACATACTGTATGACATGATTTATTTTATGTACTTATTTAAGCTTCGTATCAATCCATGAGAAAATTGTGGTGAGGAAATCATTTCTTGTAGTAGTCTGAGAAATCATTTCAGAAGTTTCACAGATTGGACATTATTCTAAATTTTTTGACCTAATTAGGAATGAATTAAAGTGAACAATTTATTAGCTTTACATAAGAGAGCTAAGCAAAATACAGGTGTATTTAAGAATATTTCACTTCAGTTTCACAATTATAACCAGAATGAATACGGTTACTAATCACCTACATGAAACTTACCACACCAAAGCTGTAGATGTCAGACTTGGGTGTGATTTCTCCTCGCAAAGCTTCAGGTGCCATATAAGCTGTTGTTCCCACAATTCTGCTAGTCATGACTGTCTGGGCAAACCTCTCAGAAGCACGTGCAAGCCCAAAGTCAGATATTTTGGCTGTGAAGGATTCATCTAGTAAGATATTTGCACTGAAAAAAATGTAAAGTTTGGAGAAACAAAATGTTTTCCTTTCCAAGCAAGTTAAGCAGTAATATCTTTCTGTTAGTCTGTCTACCCTTCCATCCATCCATCTGTAAATATATGAATACACATATAAATATATTATAGTATACATAATAGCCTGATATTTGTGTAAATAAGTCCAGAATTCAGATTTTTGCAAGAGAAATAACTGTCTTCTTTTGTTTCTTGAAAATAATTAAGAGAATAGAAATGAAACAATCTGTCCATGATAGTGAAAGGTATTTTCATTATTTCACATATGATCTATAATGATAATTTTCCTCAGTCTTCTAAACCAGCAGTCTTAATTATTTTCCTAATGTTTCTCAATTCATTTAAAAACAAATTTCCAACCAAAGTATCTCAACTATTTATTTTTTAAACTACCCTTTGTTTCTGTACTATCTGAAATCTTTCAAAGGAGAAAGACTATGGCTAAGAGATCTTCATTTATTATATATGTTCCATACATTACTATTTTTCTTCCACAGAACTTTATTGAGGACTCTCTGTGTATTAGTATCTAAGTTCAACTACGGGGGGGGGGGGGGAGAGAGATCCTGGAATCCTGTCTGTGATGAAGGCATGTGAATAAATAATTAACAAACAAACAAACAATGAATTCTACATAATGGAGATATCTGGTACAAAATGCTGAGGGAACAACCACGTGCTTGGAGGAATTGGGGGAAATTCCACAGAGAAGGTGACAAGTGTGTTTAATCTTGAAGGATATCAGAAGTTGATGGGTAAATGAAGGCAAATAAAGGCATTTCAGGCTAATGAGACAGCATGCACAAAATGATAAAAAAAACATGAAAGCATATGGTGAGTAGACGATCAAATGCAAGAAACTGGTGTGAGTGGGAAATGGAGGGAATTTGACCTTTATCCTGTAAGCAACAGGACACCAACTAAAGTTTTCATAATGGGGAACTGATGTTATCAGACTTGAATTTTAGGACCATAATCCAGGCAGTGCTGTAGTGAACAGATGAGTGCTGGCACATACTTTTTGTAGGCTGACCAGTTAGGAAACTTTATAATAGAGCAAATGAGAGCTAATGAGGGTCTACAGACAGAGCACTGGGAAGTGTGAAATGAAAACTGTGACACACTTTATAGGACTCTGTAATATATGGGGAATGAGAAAGTGGATCTATAGTGACTTAATTAGATCAGAAGATTGTGGGTTGGAAGAGATAATGAGTTTGTTTCTAATGTGCTAAGTTAAAGGATCCTTTGGGATATCCATGTAAAGGTGTTTATGGTAGGTGGTTACTAAAAATACAGGACTGGAAGCATGTGACAGAAATTTGTGAATTATCCACATATAGATAGCAGTTGGAGTCTGCATATTATCACTCAGCAAAAACATGTAGAATGAACAAAAGAACCAATAACTTAAGACACAAGGGAATGCCAAAACATATGACAGTGTCTCTTCTTATCTAAGGCTAATTCCTCATTTGGGTTCCCACCTACATTTTCAGGAACCTTACTATATAAATTATGCTTCTACTGTACTTTCTCAGTCCTATTGGAATCCTTCCCACAGGTATATAACCAAAAAAAAAAAAAAATCAAACCCACTGCCATCGAGTTGATTTTGACTCTTAACAACCCCCTATTACATTGTCAAGGCTGTAAATATTTATAGAAGTAGATTGCCTCATCTTCCTCCCACAGAGCAGGTGGTGAGTTTGAACTGCTAACCTTGTGGTTAGCAGCCAAGTGCCTTACTGACTATGTCACCAGAGCTCCTTTCATAGGCATATAAGCATGCTTTAATCTTTGTAGTGCCTAAGGCATTTGACCGCTAACCAGAAGGTTAGTAGTTCAAACCCACTAGCCACTCTGCAGAAGGAAGACTGAGCAATCTACTTCTGTAAAGATTTACTACCTTAGAAACCCAATGGGGTTGCTATGAGTCAGAATCGACTTGATGGCAGTGAGTTTGGGTTTTATTTTTGTATCTTAAAGATAGAAAAAGTGTAGCCGGAATGCTCCTTGGAAGCGAGAATGGCCAAACTTCATCTAACCTACTTTCGTCATTTTGTCAGAAGGGACCATTCCCTGGAGAAGGGTATAATGCTTGGTAAAGTGGAGGGTGAACAAAAAAGGGGAAGGCCCTCAATGAGGTGGATTGACACAGTGGCTGCAATGATGGGCTTAGGTATAGCAAGGATTGTAAGGTTGGCACAGAACTGGGCAGTGTTTCATTCTGTTGTACACAGGGTCACTATGAGTTGGAGTTGACTCGATAACACCTAACAACAACATCTTAAAGAAAACTGTTTTCTGAACACAACTATTTCTAGCTACCACCATTCTCTAGCTAAATGTCTTAAAAGACTTGTCTATACTCACATGTCAGTTCCTCTCTCCTCAATTACAACCTGGCTTTGGACTCAATCACTACATGAAATGCTGTTGTTAGATGCTACTGAATTGGCTCCCAAATCATGGCAACCCCATGCACAATGGTCTGGTCGAAATGATGTCAGGTCCTGCACCATCCCCATGAGCAGCTGAAGTACAGACCACAGGGTTTTCGCTGGTTGGGGTTTCAAAGAAGACAGGCAGACCATTCTTCCCATTCCATATTACTCTGAAAGCTTTACTGAAACCTGTTCAGTATCAAAACTACACGCAAGCCTTCAGTGACAGACAGGTGATGGCTGTGCATAACACTGGCTGGAAACTGAACCCAGGCTTCCTGCATGGAAGGTGAAAAATAGGTCTCCACAAAGTCACAAATGACCTTCACAGCGCTAAATCAAATGATTGATTTTCAGTCCTCAATCTGACCTCAAAAAAACTTGACTTTTGACTACTCCCTCTTGGGAAACATACTCTTTGCTTATTTTCAGGGATACTACACTTCCTGGTTTTCATCTTACCTTTCTGTCTGTACTTTCTTAGATGCCTTTTTGGGCTCATTCTCTTTTACTTGGCCATTAAGTCTTAGGGTTCCTCATGACTTAATCTTTGGGCTTTTTCTTAGTCTCTCTCTCTAAGTGACTGCAACAATCTAGCACTTCAATTTTAACCTGTATGTAAATAACATACATACATATTTGTATCTTTAGCTCATATTTCTTTGCTCATCAAATCTGTACTTCACACTGCCTGTTTAACATTTCTACTTCTGTATCTTAAAATCACCTCAAATTCCAAATGTACAGAAGAGAGAACTCATGTTCACAACCCCAGCTGAAGCTGCCTCTTCTTTCACTGCTTTCCATATAAATGAATCATGCCACTATCAACGCATTTCTAGCAGCCAGAAATCCAGGAGTTATTCCTGACACTTCCCTCTCCCTGACCTCTCTGCAGCCAAGTCCTGTCATTGCAATCTTTCAGATATGCTCACTTCTCTTCATATGAACTGCCACCTCTGAGATGCCTGTGATAGCCTCCAAAATACCTCTTCTTTCAAAGTGTTTTTCAATTCTTACTAACGTTTCTCAATGGCATCTATTACGCTTATGGTAAGACTAAAATTCTTACCTTGGTCTAAAACACCACATAGGACTTGGCTCCCTGCCTACCTCTACAGTTTTTGTCACATTAATCACTGCTTCAATTTCTGCATTTCAGTCTTACTGCAATTATTTCACTTCCTGTAATTTGTCATGCCCCCTTGCTCCCTCTCACCACTGGTCTCACAAATGCACTCCCTGTCTGGAATGCTCTTCTCCCATTTTCTATAAAAATCAAACCAAACACACTACCTCTGAGTCGATTCCAATTCATAACGACCTTACAGGACAGAGTCGAACTACCCTACATGGTTTCCAAGGCTGTAAATCTTTATGGAAGCAGACTGCCTCATCTTTCTCCTGCAGAGTGGCTGGTGGATTCAAGGGTTTGAACCACTGATTTTTTTAGTTAGCAGCTGAATGCTTTAATCATGCATCACTAGAGCTCCTTAACTAATCAAGAAGAAAAAAAAAACTGAAAAGTGTTCATGAAAGATAAAGGTGATTCAGAAAGGAATAGTGATCCAGAACTTAGAAAAGAATTCTGGTAAGGCAAAAGTGATCAGGAAGAACAGAATAACTTGCTATTAAAAAAAGATCAAGTATAAGAACTGTAGATACAGGATCAACTTGACAACAGCAACTGGAAAGATTAAATAGGAAAATTTAGCAGATTTATGTTAATGAGGAAGGAACAACTCAAAAAAGGAGTATGAGACTGGTTGCACAACTTGAAGAATGTAATCAATGTCACTGAATTGTATGTGTAGGAAATGTTGAAATGGTTTGTTTTACTGTATATATTCAACCACAACACGAACAAAATGAAATAAATTTAAAAAAATATTTCAATTAAAAAGCAAAAAATAAGATAAAGGTCAAATATGATGAGTAATGCAAATAGGTCAGTGTTTGGAATAAAGGAGATTATGAATTTCATGGAGTGAATGGGGAAAAAGCCCAGCTGCTCTAGGTTAAGGCATTCATGTGAGACTGAATAGAAAAAAGTGAGAGCAAATTATCCTTTAAAGATGGTTTTTTGAAAGATTTTTATGAGTAGCATTACCTTTTAATATCTCTATGAATATGATGGTTTTCATGTAAGAAACTGATGCCATTAGCTGCATCCTGAGTAATCTTGCATCTAATCTGCCAAGAAAGTGGTGGAGTACCATCCTTAACAAAAAACAGAGCAATTAAAAAAAAAAAAAGAAAAATATCAGTAGAAACTATATAACCCAAAATATTTTTCTAGGCAACAACTGAAATTGTTGTAGCATTACAGGGACACCTGTGAGAACCAGAACTTAGTAGGACTACCTTGTTTTTTGGATCTCACAACTTTCCTGCCTTTGATAGGGTGCAGTTTTACTACTTTTCTATGTCTCGTTTAGTGGAAAATGCTTGACTTCTCCTTTTCTGACAGGTTTCTGCCTTATGCAGGTTCTGGCTTTCACAGATTTGACTGTTTATTGCTAATTAAGAATTTAGGACTATATTTGTTTTAAGTTGTTAGCAAATAATCTCTAAATAAGATCAAATAGAGGTTAGCACTTCTTTTTTACAGACAAAAATATAGAAGAGCATCGTTAAAGTCTAGCCTTGACTGATAATTTTACAATTTGGATTCTTACCTAAGAGAATGAAAATCTCAGTTGTTTATACATCAACCATATAGTTTTCACAGAAAAGGGAAAATATTAAGTGTAGTGTGGTTTATATGATCCTGTCACAAAGTTAGTATTAGTATTCTGACAAAGAAACAGAGAGCAAAACATTTGATAGAGAAACACCTTACCAAGCAAGACAATCTGTCAAGCAATGAACCGTTGGGCATGTAAACATATACTAAGCAGAGATCATCACCATCACTACAGAAACCAAGTAGTTCTACTAAGTTTTCGTGTTGGCACCTGTGAAAGACAGTTTTCACAAACTTTTAATGCCAAGTCGTTATTATATACACTTACATACTTAGCTTTAGGTGGAAAATAATTGACTTTAGAGCTTTAACACAAAAAGAGCAAGAAACTCATGGTATGCTACATATTATTACTATTGTGATACATAATTAACTCAAAAACTCACTGCTGTTGAGTCAGATCCGACTCATAGCGACCTCTCCTTGGGTTTCCGAGGTGTTATCTCTACGGAAGTAGATTGCCCAACCCTCCTTCTGAGGAGTGTCTGCTGGGTTTGAACCGCCAGCCCTCTGGTTAACAGTCAAATGCCTTAGGCACTAAACCACCAGACCTTCCCATGATACTTAATTATATGATGTTAATTTTGTTGTTGTTGTTAAGTGCCGTCGAGTCGTTTCCGACTCATAGCGACCCCAGGCACAGCAGAACGATGTTAATTATAATTATCATATACTGTACACAGTTCTTTTCATGCAATATTGATTGAAGATAGAAGTAAAACCATTTTCTATTTTATAGTAAAAGTTCAATAACTCAGATCATTGGAACTCTTGATAGTTTAGTGAAGGACTAGGCTGATGTTGACATTTTTATCACAGTCTTCAATGATATCACAAACAAGATTTCAAGAAGTCTATGAAAATGGGATGGCAGGAAGTTTGGTTTTTGGTTTTTATGAAACACTTTCAAGTGTTTTGACTTCAACGTCAATCATTTGCAGACATCTGATCCTTAATCACATCTCATGTGTTGTTGTTGTTGTTGTTATTTGCCATCGAGTCGGCCCCTACTCATAGCGACCCCTCCTTGGGTTTCTGTGGCAGTATCACTACGGAAGTAGGATTGCCCAACCTTCCTTCCGAGGAGTGGCTGGTGGGCTTGAACCGCCAGCCTTCTGGTTAGCAGACATACCTAATTTCCACATACTCACTGCTGCTAAGTTGGATCTGACTCATAGTGACCCCTCCTTGGGTTTCTGAGGCGGTATCACTATGGAAGTAGATTGCCCAATCTTCCTTGTGGCATAGTGCCTAAGGCATTTAGCTACTAACCAGAAGGCTGGCAGCTCAAACCCACCAGCCACTCCTCAGAAGGAAGATTAGGCAATCTACTTCTGTAGAGACACCACCTTGGAAACCCAAAAAGGGGTCGCTATGAGTTGTCATCAACTTGACAGTGCAGTGAGTTTGATTTAATTTCCACATGTCTGATCTTTAATCACATCTGATCACTTATAACTTAAGCTCAGCTGCTTCATATACTTGAGAGTGAGAAAACTGAGAGCTGTAATGTCACAAAATTGCAGGCACCTGTGATACTGCAGAAAGAAAACTGGGTTCTGGGTACAAAGTTCTAAGTTTAAAATGCAGCTCTGCCACCTCCTGGATATGTGACCTATGGCAGGTTAACAATCTCATTGAGCCTCATCTCCTATACCCGCTAAATGGGGATAATACCTATTAATGTCACACAGGTGATGTGAGAATTAAAGGAGCAAATACATGTGACAACCTAGAAATACTCCTGGTATACTACAAGTGTTCCATCCAAGCTCTTATTCATTTTGTTCATTCAAAATGATCTATGATTTTAACCTTTCATCAAATCAGACTTCCTCTGTTGTTGTGTGCCTTGGAGTCAATTCCAACTCCTACTGACCTTACAGAACAAAGTAGAACTCCCCATAGGGTTTCCAAGGCTGTAATCTTTACAGAAGCTTTTAAAGGTTTATGTACAAAGATGTTCATAGGAACTTCAATTTGGCATACTGAAAATCAGAAACAAACCTAATAGTGTAACAGTTAAATAAAATATAATGCATTGCTAGAATATTATGTAATAAGGTATTTTCAAATTATACTACACATATTTTATGAAGCAAATATATCAAAATCTTAGCAATGGTTATATCTGGTTAATATATTTAAGGGATACTTTTTACTGTTTAAAAATATTTTTCTGTATTTCCCAGATTATTTACTTTGAACAGGTGACTTTTATGGTTGCAGATTGGAGAGTAGAGATGAGAATAAATACTGAAACAACAACAAAAAAAGTTTTGATTTTTTCCAGGTACTTTATTTTCACTGTAACAGAATCAATCTTGAGCAAGGAGTCTAATGTGTGTAAATTGGTTTTAAAGAGCCAAGCTCATTATGATTCAGATCAAAAGCTCAGGCTCTAGAAGTGGATCTAGATTTGAATCCTAACTGTAATACTCAGTGCCTTAGCATTTTTCATTGGCTGATTTTCAGAATTAGATTGCAAGGCCTTTCGTCCTAGTCCATCCTAGTGTGAGAGCGCCACTGAAATCTGTTCTGCATCACAGCAACATGCAAGCCTCTGCTGACAGGTGGCGGCAGCTGTGCATGAGGTACACTGATTAGAAACTGAACCCAGGACTCCCTCACAGAAGGTGAGAATTCTAATAGTGAACCACTACTGCCCTCTATCTTATATCTAGAAACCCTCAAAAAAAACCAGCCGTCAAGTTGATTCCAATACATAGTGACCCTGTAGGACAGAGTAGAACTGCCTCAGAGGGATATCAAGGCTGTAAAGTTTTATGGATGCAGACCACATCTTTCTCCCACAGAGCAGCTACAGGGTTTGAACTGCTGACCTTTTGGTTAACAACCAAATGGTTAACAACTGAGCCACCAGGTTTCTATCATCTCGAAAGGCTTATTATTCTGTAAATAGTTTTTCTTTTTAAAAATGTCTCACAATTTATTTCCCATAAATTCTGGGAACAGAAAACATGATAATGGAATGCAATACTTGGGAGTTGAAATTTTGTGTCACTTTGTTGTGACTTGAAACATGACTGCTATTTAATATACATATGAGTCTATGTAGTCATAGAGTTGTGGATCTAGGAAGCACATTCAGTTCCTCTATTCTAAACCCTGTATTTTTACTTCATATATTTGAAATGATCACTAGTTTCATGGCACACTGGGTAAGAAACTCCTTGTCCTGTTCTTTTCCACAATACTACACTGCCAAATTAACACTTACTTTGCCATTACTTTTATTTCTTGATCAAACTGTTGTTTCAGCTCTTCAGTACTAATGTCAACCATCTGAAAAAATAAAACAAAATACAATACCATATAGTAACACCATGTCTCCTAAAGCTAGAAGCTTTAAGCTCAAGAGACAGGCTGGCTGATTGCTCTTTCCTTAAAACAGAAAGGCATTATTTCTTTCCATTTCACAGAACAGCTAAGATCTAGAAAAAGCAGCAGTCTGCTTAAAGTCTCACGTCTGGTTAGTGTAAGGAAAGAACCATATAACCCTGAGTTGTTGTGGAGACAAAATGAAATAATATATGATGAGACTTCACATTTTGGGAAAAGATCTGTGAACAGAAACAGAAGCAAATCTGAAAAACAACTCAGTAAAGTATTTGCAACATATATGACAAAAGTGACTACCTTTACCATATAAATATTTATTATACATATATTGTTAGAATATAACAATAGATTTGTTGTTGTTGTTAGGTGTCAAGTCAACTGTGATTTGCAGCAGCCCCATGTGTCAAAGTAGAACTGCCCCAAAGGATTTCCCAGGCTGTAATTTGGGCAATCCTACTTCCGTAGTGATACTGCCTCGGAAACCCAAGGAGGGGTCGCTATGAGTCGGGGCCAACTCGACGGCACATAACAACAACAACAATCTTTACTTTATAAGAGCTGACTGCCAGGTCTTTTCTCCTGTGGAGTAGCCAGGTAGGTTCAAACTGCCAACTTTTTTGCTAGCAGCTGAGTACTTAACTGGTACACTGCTCGAGTTCCTTACAATAAATTTAGAATACAACAAAACAATACGTAAAAGGTGAGCAGGCTACAAACCATAAGCCAATAAGGTGAACAGTAACACCAGAGAGGTACATACTCCTTAATATAATCAACCATACAAGATCCAAAGGGCAGCATTGGCCCAGGGATAAAGCTCAGAAAGCAGTGGGGGACAGGAAAGGAGGAAGAATGCAAACAGTAAACAGTAAGGAAGTAGAAAGAGTGCCGTTACACTGTGAAGACTGCTATCAGTGTCGCAAAACAAAATGTGTATGAATTGGTTATCAGAAAGCCAACTTGTTCTGAAACCTTTCATCAAAATCACAATAAAAAATACAAAGAAAAAAAAAGTAATGAAAGTTATTAATTTTTAGGTATTTTTCTTAATATGCTACCCTTAATCTTGATTATGTATGAAACAGTGAAGAGCAGAACTTAACTTTATTTAGTGAATCCTCAAAGTCTATATACATATACATATACACATATATACATATATACATACACATATATATATATATATATATATTGTTGTTGTTATGTGCCATCGAGTCGGCCCTGACTCAAAGTGACCCCTCCTTGGATTTCCAAGGCAGTTATCACTACAGAAGTAGGATTGCCCAACCTTCTTCCGAGGAGTGGCTGGTGGGTTTGAACCGCCAGCCTTCTGGTTAGCAGTCAAGTGCCTTAGGCATTATGCTACCAGAGCTCCTATATGTATATGTGTGTGTGTGTGTGTGTATATATATATATATATAAATTTAAACAAAATAAAAATCCAACAGATTTTTAAAATTAAGAACTATTAAATCAGAACAACATTTTCTACCAAAAAAAAAAAAAAATTCACAGTGAAATATTCTATCTCCTAAAGATTCATTTAAAATTTTTATAGCATGCTAGGAAGCAGTTCTCCCTTTAATTCTTTTTATTCCTGAAAATATAACTTACTGCTGCAAGCTTTTTCACTGCCACAGTTCTGTTGTTCACAACGCCTTTATACACAACTCCAAATCCTCCCTCTCCCATTTTATTACCACCAGCAGAAAGGGGTCGTTCATCAAAGTTATTTGTGACATTCTTCAATTCATAAAATGAAAAACTGTGAAAACCTAGGTCAATAAAACGAGAAAAAGAGTGTGTGTGGGTAAAAAAGAGACTTATTTCACTATTTTCTCAAATGAAAGATTTATTATATATGCAAAATATTTACAGTTTTTGAGTAGACAACATGGGAGAGGGTAAAAACATTTTTTAAAATACAAATGTTAAGCTCTATTTTCAGGATTCTGTTTGGTTCTTTATAATTCTAGTAGAAAGAAAAAAACAAAAACAAAAAACCCTCATCCTCTACCCAAACTCTATTTATCTAGCTATTTTCTTGGGGGGTGGGTGGGAAATACCCTGTCAAGTTATGTAAATATTAACTTCATAGCTTCTGTGGTTATCTGCATGTCCTATGACCTCTGCTCACTGATAATACACTAACACAAAGAAGATGGTACTTAATAAATCTGGGGAAAAAACATCAAAGAGCTATTGTCACTGTGCCTCTCATTCTTACAGAAATGAAAGGAAAGACTTATTCTAAAGCACTGACGGATGTAATGACAAACTCACCAGTGCAAAGTACAACAGTGTTACTTACGTGTGTCACTAACTTCTAAACTTTCATTTTCTGTACTTGAGGAGTCAGGTGGCATATAGTTCAGTTCCAAATTTTGTACTGGTGTCACAGATGCCCTGTCTTTGTCACAGAGAGCCACCTGTTCCTGCTGAGCTGTTATAAGTTCTCGAAAAGGTAGTGTATTCACAGTTTTGGGAACAGCATCTGCCAAATGAAATGTGAAATGTAGTATTAGTTGTCCTTCAACAAGAAAAAGTATTTACAAAAAAGTAAAACTAGAATCTGCGAAACTCCTCATAATGTGGATGAACTTAGAGGACATTATGCTGAATGAAGTCAATCACAGAAGGACAAATACTGTATTAGTCCGCTATTGTAAAAAATCAAAAGAAAAGTTCACATACGGAAGGAAATTTTCTTTGTTAGATACCACAGATGGATGGGGAGAGAAAACTGCTGGATAGGTAAGAGCCAAGTATTGATTTGAGTGAAGGGAAAGACAATATACCAAAAGCGAGTGACTAACACAATAACACTAAGGAAAAGGAAGACAAAAAGAGGTGCACAAGAGGTACAGATAAAAAAGATAAACACTTTTACTTACACAATACTGCATTATCAGTAATAACAAATATTAATCTATGGGTGGATACACAGGTAGACAGACTGAATCAGGTACTTCTATGCAAAAGGGAATATACTCATGACCATATATAAGTTTGGCAGATGGTATTTTCACATACATATTTGTATGTGCTATAACAATGTCCATACACACCATAGAGCTAACAGGTGGCAAAGTTATAACTTCTTAGCCACAGCCCACTGCCCTGAGTGAGTGAAGCATTGGGCCCATGGGCCTCAGGGCCATGGTTGCAGGGGAAGTCAAACTCAACTGGCATAACATACTAGACAAAAACACTGTTCTACATCCTACTTCATTGAGCAGCAACTGGGGTCTTAAAAGCTTACCAGCGGCTATCTAAGATGCAACAATTGGCCTCTCCTTGTCCAGAGCAAAGAAGAATGAAGAAAATCAAAGATGAATGGAAACAATTAGTCCAAGGGACTGGGGACCATGTGAACCCCAGCCTACATGACTGAGAGAACAGAAGAACTAGTTGGTGCCTGGCTATCACTGTCAACCACTTGGAAAGTGATCAAAATAGGAGATTCTGGGTAGAGTGGGAGAAAAATATGGAACAAAACTCAAAATCATAAAAAAAGACCAGGCTGACTGGTCTGATACAGACTGGTGAAACACCCGAGACTATGGCCCCTGGTCACCCTTCAGGCTTGGAATAGAACTCACTCCGGTTGCTTCCAGCCAAACCACAGACAGGTATATGAAATGAGTATATACACCAGGTAGGTACACTCCTTAGAACAATCAACCATGGGAGATTAGAGGGCAGTGTTTTCACAGGGAGATAGCTCAGAGAACAGGAATGCACAGGTAAGAAGGACAAAAGGAAAAGGTAATCATAGGATGGACGTGGGAAGAGAGCTGTTAGATTATGGGGTTTGCAATCAACATCATGAAAAAAAGTATGCATGAACTATTAAATGGAAAATGAATTTGCTCTGTAAATTTTCACCCAAATCACAATTAAAAAAAAGAAACTACATTAAAAAAAAGAAGGCTACTCACCAGCTGGCTGCAGGGAAAAAAAAAAAGTTAAACTAGGAACTTAGTTCATTTAACATCATCCCAATTTCCTCATGTTGGATTCATACTCTCACAGAACACACAAGAAGGTACTTAGTATGGATTTGTAGGCTGTGATAAAGGTGAGGAGTGGAAAGCAGGGTTTTCAAAGAGTGTTCTCTGAACCACCTATAGTACTTGTTTAAGAACACACAGCTTGAACTCAACTCCAGAATTCTGATGAATTAGGTCTGGAATAAACGAAACAAAACAAAAAAGCAAACCCACTTCTATCATGTTGATTCTGACTGATAGCAACTCTGTAAGACAGAATGGCCTGATAGGGTTTCAAAGCTATAAATCTTTTATGGAAGCAGAGTGCTTCATCTTTCTCCCATGGAGTGGCTGGCGGGTTCACACATGATTTTTTAGTCAGCAGCCCAATGCTTTAACCACAGTGCCACCAGAGCTACTTAGGTCTGGAATAGAGCTCAAGAACTTACATGTCTAACGAGAACTCCAGGTGACTTTTATGCACTCTAAAGGTTGAGAACCACTGGTGCAAATGGCATCAAAAGAAAAAAGTAAGGCTGTGAAGAAGGGAACTGGGTAAGTAAATACAACAAAATATAACGTAAGAAAGGCACAATCATAAAGTCTCATCAGGAACTAATTTTCTACAGCTCAAACCAGGTTTCTGAAGTCTATACCCTTCTCCACTCCTACTGGTACAAAATGAGCTGACTTTATGATGGGGTCAGGTTCATGATGAAGCCTCCACCACCAGAGCAGCAGGGTCTGCAGTATCCTGTGTCTGGGGTGCTTGTTAGAGGGCTGGGGAGAGCTGAAACAATGAAAAGAACTCTATGGATGAAAATTAGGTTCACCTGCTATGAGAAAAAGTAAGTAAGAAGCAATGTTCCTGTTTCTGCCATCTGTCTTTCCACCCTGGTCATGCTCAGTTGTTGACACCCTGGTCATGCTCAGTTTACCTGGTAGCAAAAGACTTGCAGGGGCAAGAAACTCATTTTGCACCAAAAGATCCACAAGATCACCAACTGTGCAATTTGTGGTGCCCCAGTCAAACAGTAATTCACAAGTGGGACTTTTTCCGGTCTGAAGTAATGCTTCAAATCTCCTTAAATGCAAGTAACAAAGAAACAAAATGAGTATATAATAGAGTTAATATGAAAATAGGAATTGTTCCTCCCTACCCCTCTTACCCCATCACCTATAATAATAAAGAAAAAGGCAGCAAGAGAACCAGTGAGAATTACAAAGAGACAGGGAGGACACTAGAAGGAAAAAATATTGTTAAGATGAACATAATAATAAAAGTTTGTATCTGCTATGTACTTAACTGAGTACTTAGTAAGTTAAGGGATGCACACACATGAATTCATTTAATTCTCAAAGATACATTGCTATTTTACTCATGAGAAAGCCATGTTTGAAAAGGTAAAGTAATCTGTTCAAGGCTACGCAGCCAACAAGCTATATACAAGGTGATATTAAAATTCGTATCTCACTTGATATAAAAGTGCTTTCAGTTGACTAAGCTATGTTCTTCTATATGTAACTTAATTCTTCTGTTAGTTGTATGAATTTTAATAAGTCAGCTTGCTTAAAGAAACTGAATATACATAAACCTAGGGAATTATTCCTTTGGTCTTAACTATACTTCAATTAAATTGAAAGGAAAAGACCAGTTTTTCTTTCCCATTTCTTTAAAAATTGGTTTTAAAAAGTAACATTTAAAATCATAACCAGTAAGATTTTGTTTTCTTCAAATTTTTACTCTGAAACATTTCAAACCTACAGAAAAGTTGAAATAATAATAAAATGATAAACATCTACTCTTCACCCAGAGTCACCAAATGACTAACTGATAACATTTTGTTACAATTGTGCACTCGCCCTCTCACTTTGTGTGTGTGTCCACATTTTAGAGTCCAGGCTAGATGTCTTATAGAATGTCTCACACTCTAAATCGTCTATTTTCTCATGATGAAATTTAGGTTAATTTTTTTTGATCAATGCACTACATAGCTAATCCATGTCCTTCCCACTGTATCACATCCATTATGTACAACACCATAGCAGCTGGTACCATTAATAGTGATGCCAAGTTTGAGAAAAAAGTACTTTGTCCCTTCCATTATTTATTAGTTATCTACGGGTAATACTTTGAAATCTTGGGAATATCTTGTTCTTCAACCACCTTTCAACCTTATGGTCTTAGCATTCACTGATGAGTCTTGCGTGGATCATTGTGGTTACAAACTGATAACTTTTTAATTCTCTATCATTCCTTTAAGGAGCTCTGGTGTATAGTGGTTTAGGCATGTGGCTGCTAACCAAAATGCTGCTGGTTCAAACCCACCAGCTGCTCTGTGGAAGAAAGATGAGGCAGTCCACTTCTGCAGTCTGCTTCCGTAAAGATTTACAGGAAGAAAGATGAGGCAGGCCGCTTCCACAATCTGCTTCTGTTAAAGATTTCCAGCCTTGGCAACCCAATGGGGGTTGCTATGACTTGGAATTGACTCGATGGCAGTGAGTTTCGTCTTTCTGGTTATCATTCTTTCAGCAATTAGTTGCTGGCCTTGCTTTTCCTCCCCTGCCACTACTGTCCCAATCATTTTCATAATTTTTGAATAGTAATTGGAACAACATATATTTAATGCTTGGCTTTTAAGGGTTAAACTTGGGCCTCTTCCCTGTAATTTAAGCAGCTCACCTTTCAAATGAGAAAACACTTCCACGAAGGACTAATATGGCAGCTAAGCCTTTAGGTTCTCTAGCAAGTTAATATGGGAAACCACAAATTTCAAATTCAATTTCTTTTCCTCTTGCTGCCAAAGAAAGATTTGACATAGGTGTGGGGCTGCAATGACTGACAAAAATAAAATCTGTACTTTTATATTACATTAAACCAAGCAAAGAAGAGTAGAGAGAAAGAATGGAAATCATCTGAAAGTAAGTGTTGAACAACCCTGGCTAAGAACAAAAATTTTATTCATAGACGTATATATTTATAAGCTTTAAAATGTCAATTTGGAAAATTAGCAAAGTACATTGTTAGAGTGGGCCAGAGAGTCACACACTTGGACCTAGAGGTTCCAAAATTTTACTAGTGATTTTTATAGCATTCTTATGTTACTACAACCTGGAAATGAGAAGCGTGAGGAAGAGTGAATTGCACTTACCTTGTTGGTGGCATAGTGCCTAAGGCATTTGACTGCTAACCAGAAGGCTGGTTCAAATCCACCAGCCGCTCCTCAGAAGGAACATTGGCAATCTACTTCCGTAGTGATACCGCCTCGGAAACCCAAGGAGGAGTCACTATGAGTCGGATCCGACTCGACAGCAATGGGTTTTTTTGTGTGTGCCAGAGAGCATGAACAGAGGTGGGCATCCTCTCTAACACAAAAAACTTACTTGCAAGAGCAAAGTATGAGCCCAGCTGAAATACTAGAGAATGAAGCAAAAAGTAAAAAAAAATAAAAAAATTACTTATTATCATTATCTCTACTGCAGAGCTCTACTCAACACTACAACTTTGCATAGCACCTATTCATCATTCTAGACTGTGATACAAGAAGAATTAAAATTGTTTTATATGTTACCTTATGTGAAACTGATTGTATCTATCATCACCAGATGGTTTTTTAATAGCTACAGCTAGCTTCTTCCATCCTTCTTGAGGATCAATAAAATCTGACAGCTTTCTTATTAGTCCAACGTTGAGGCAGCGCACATATGTTGATGGAGTTATAGGCTTGCTCATCTTCTATTTCTAAAACATGGAAAATTCTCATTAAACTTTTACAGTAGCTTCAGATATCGTATCTGTAAACTTACACATTACATTTTACCAATCATGTGAAAATATGGTTATCTATTACACTATAATAAAAGGACATTCCAAAGTCATCTAGTTGATATCCTAAGAAGAAATTATAATTTATTTGCATAATTGTCCTCTGAGTTTTCTTTCTTTCTCTATCAAAAACAAATGAAGAACTTTTCTTCTGACACGGGTATTTTTCTGAGTGAAATTTAATAGAGGAGCAAAACATTTAAAATCAGCCAATGAAAACCCTATGGATAACAACAGTCAGATCTGCAACCCATCGTGGGGGGTGCAGGACTGGGCAGCATTTTATCCCATCATACAAGGGTCACCATAAGCTGGGGCTGACTTGACAGCAGCTAATAACCACAACACCGTGAGGCCAGAAGAATAAATTCTGTAATTCTCCTGTAACCAGATTTCTAGGAGAGGTGATGTGAAGGCCTTCCGATAACTCTTCCACAAATATATGCCCAGCAGTTCTAAATCTCAGAATTTAAAATTTTCCTTCAGGCATACATTGATATACTACTTGCAACCATGTATTTAGAAGAATATACAACAAAGTATTAACAGTGGTTAATCTCTTGATGAGGTTCCTGGAGGGTGTAAATGGCCTACACTTGATTATTAACCAAAGATTGGTGAGTCAACCCCACCCACAGGTGCCACAGAAGAAAGGCCTGGTGATCTATTTTTAAATCTCCTGGTGATAATTCTAATGGGTAGTTTAATTTGTTTGCCTAGATTTTCAACAAAGAAAACAGATTATCAGTGCAAACATTTTAATTAAAAAATATCACCTCTTCAATAAAATTTTTCAATATTTTACTTTAATGTACTCTTAGGATTAATAGAGGTGGAACAAGAAATATTACTTACAAACAAGTAAGTAAGTAAATAAATAATTCCATGACTATTTTCTCATATCCTTAATTCTCCTGGTAAGGAAAAACCATTCACATTTTCAAATAAGACAACTCAGACACACATACATGGAGCAGTAGCAATGTGGGAATGTACTGAAACCAGCATCTGCTTGTGGAACCCAATGGCTTCTTGTCAAATGAAGTAATAACGTTTTAAGACAGTGCTTTGTTAGCACTCTGATCAGAAGGAGAGAGTGTAGAAGGGAAGGGGGCAAGATGGACTTTGGGGTTGCACGGGCTTGGGTTCTCATCTCTGCTATTCCACAAACCAACTGTGACCAGGGCTAATAACTCAATTTCTTTGGATCTTTGTTTCTTAGCTGAAATAACAGAGAGAGTAATAACTAAATCAAGAGCTGCCATAAAATTTAAAATCAACAAATGAAAAGCATTTAATCATGGTATACAAGGTTGCTGTTGTTAGGTGCTGTCGAATTGGCTCTGACTCAGAGCGTCCCTATGTACAACAGAATGAAACACTGCCAGGTTGTGTGCCATCCTTTTATGTGGGGGAAAACAAAACAAAACAAAACAACCTCTTGCTGTCAAGTTGATCCGGCTCACAGCGGCCTTATAGGATGGAGTTGCCCCATAGCGTTTCAAAGGCTGTAATCTTTATAGAAGGAGATTGTCACATCTTTCTCCTGCAGAGCAGCTGGTAGGTTCAGACCACTGATCTTTTGGTTAGCAGCGAAGCACTTAAGCACCAGGGCTCCTTTAAAAAATAAAAAAATAAAATAAATAAATAAATACACATACATACGTATATCTAGAGAGAGGGGAGAGAGCGCAATTATTACTTTCTGACAAGTTATTGTTTTATCACTTTTTCAAACGAAATTCACAAGACATTTGCATTTAACGGCAATTTTCAGAGTAGAGGTGAGAGCCCACTGAGAGAGCAGAAATTACAGATCTGCGAATATAGCCAAGTTTTTCAGATGGTGGCAATCTCAATTATCAAGTTTAGTACTTTTAATATAACATTCCTAAAATACATTATTTACATCCATGCCTTTTTAAGCAAAATATACCAGATAAATAACTTTTATTTTCATACAATTCAACTCATCATTATGAACAAAAGCTGGTGACGTCTTCTGGATCTCTTGTACTTTAAAACACTTTAGATACATTAAAAATAACATAATTCACTCATTAAATATTTACCATCTATTTTGTGCCAGACATTGTTACAAGCATTAGGCAAATTAGAACAAAAACACCCAAACTTGGGGAGCTTATTTTTTAAGTGAAGAAGATAGGCAATAAGCAAATAAAATCTCAAATATGTTTATAGGGGAAGTGGGGTTCAGGTGTAGAGTGGGAGATCCAGGTTCAATTCCTGCCAATGCACTTGAAGGCCACACACCAACACACAAGCAATTTGTTAGTGGTTGCTTGTGTGTTGCTATGGTGCTGAACAGGTTTTAGTGGAGCTTCCAGACTAAAATGAACCAGGAGGAAATGAGTGACTATCTACTTCCGAAAATCAGCCAATGAAAACCCGACAGGTCACAACAGACCTATGCCATTGTGCATAAGGTTGCCCTTGGCATTATCATATTATTTGTGTCATTGGTAGTTGCCCCACAATGGGACAATAATAGTAATAGGTTTGATTGTGTCAAGGTAGTGAGAGAGAAAAAAAAAAAAACTACGTTGCAATTTTCAATAAGGTAGTCAGAGCAGGCCTCAATAAAAAGGTGTCATTTGATTAACGGTTTGGGAAAGCAGGGTGGCCAGCCTATGGTATACCTGAGCAGAAGGAACAGCAAATGCCAAGGCCTGTAAGTGGGCCCTTTGGGGCTGGAGGGCAGGCAACAGGAGAACAGCAGATGAGGTTAGTGAAGTAAGGTCTCCAGCTCTCATTTATATTGACTTTGGTTTATCTGAGTGAGAAAACAGATGAGGTTTTGAGAAGAGGAGAGACATCCTCTATAATCATGTCTTAAAAGACATTAGAACAACTGCTGAGAATAAACTATACTGGATTAAAGGCAGAGAAGCAGGGAGAGATCAACTAGATTACACCAACAATCCAGGTAGGAGATGTAGGAGGTTTAGCTAGGATGGTAGAAGAAAAGATGCAAGTCCCTGGAAAAAGGATCTATTTTCAGGTAGAGCCAATAGAATCCTATGTCCTCAAGTGGAGGGTGAGAGAATAGTACCAACGTTTAAGGCTGGAACAAAAGAGTTATTTGCCACTTTATTGAGATAGAGAAAAGACTGTAGAAGGTGCAAGTGTGGCCTGGAAGATGAGTAGCTGTGTTTAGACAGAAAACCAAAAACCAAACACACTGCCATCCAGCCGCATCCGACTCAACAGTGACCCTTCCTTGGGTTTCTTAGATTGTATCACTACGGAAGTAGATTGCCCAACCTTCTTTCTGAGGAGTGGCTGGTGGGTTTGAATCGCCAGCCTTCTGGTTAGCAGTCAAATGTCTTAGGCATTACGCCACCAGAACTCCTGTTTAAACAGATAGCAAAATCAGATGTTTAGCATCAAAACATTTTTTCCAAATTTCTGACAGACTTCAAGAATTAGCCCTAGAAAAGAGGAAATGCAGAATTTAATATCCTCTGTTACTAGGACTTCTTGGGCAGATACATTTTCGACGCACTATTAGAGCTGTTTGTTGCCATTCCAAATGGCTTATATGCTTTCTCGGTTTTTCAAGGTTTCTTTTATCCATTGTATCCTCCCTTGCTTCCAGGTTGTTACGTGCACTTTTCCTATGTGGCAGTGTACTTACCATTGTTTCTTACAACCCCTCTTCACTCTAATGTCCTGGAAGCTTGGAAGCCGGAGAAACAAGCTCATTAGAATCCTGTTGAGGCTCTGAATGCCTCCCACATCACGAGCATTTGTGCCGGGTGCTCAGCCTACTTCCTGGTTCTCAGGAAACAAGTCTCATTTTGTAAACGGGTTCAGAGAACAAACAGCCAAAGAGTTGAGAAACTTGAGGCAAGCTCCGACATTGCCACTGAATAGCTGGGTGACGGCCCTCAGCGCCTTAGCTTCCTCTTCGAGTGGACCTAACTTTTGGATCACATGGGACCCACCCCAGCTCAAGATGCTGGATTCAGCTTAAGCACCTACTTCCTCTCTAATTTTTTGGGGCGATTTGGGTCCCGACATGGTCACTCGACAAGCCTGGAGTAGACAGGGAGCCAAGACGCGGACCCTGGACAATCTCCCGATAGAAAGAGGCGCGGACGGCGGCAACACCTTACCTGTCCTGGGCGTGGGGTACAGGGTGCCGGCAGAGTACCTCCGGGTGGAGACAGCGGCGGTGTACCTTGCATACTAGGAAGCGGAGGGGCGGGGCGGGGCGGGCACAACCCGTCAGGCCCCGCCCTAGGCCCCGCCCTCTTCAAACTCCGCATCTTACTTTCTACGCCTTCAGGCTGCCCCACCAACAACTTTCAATTTTGGTTAAAGAGCTTCTTGGTCTGGTAGCCTGCCCCTTTAAATACGCTCCTATCGGCGGGCAAATGTATGACTTCCGGGCATGCGCAGAAGCGTTCCGGGAGTTGTGGGCAGGAATGCCTTCGCCAGGAAGCGAGGTAGATGAGGTTTTGCGTGTTGCAGCTTGAACGTTGTGGTTCTTGTGTATGGGAAGATGACAAAATTTGCATTGGTTATCCCGATCCTTCGCCTGTACCGGGAGTTAGGGAGGGATGAAGAAGCAAATGGAACTTCTGGTAGTGTATGGGGATGGATACTTCAGGGACGAGCAGGTTTTAGTTCTATTCCTTTGGGAGCGAGTTTGGCGGATCTTGGGCAGCTGGGAAGGAGGATCATGGTGGAAAAGGGAGCTTTCTCCATTTCTACCACATTCTTAGGACCCGTCAATTCCCCAACCATCAATTCCCCAACTTTGGGTCAACCAAATTAACTTACACTTCTACACCCCGCACCCTCATCTGCAAACTCTGTTGCTTAGGAACTTTGCACATCTATACATCACTCCACGTGGACGCCTTGGCTGCCTTCCAGTTTGGTTACAAACCTTTTAAATCTTTTACAAACTCCCCCCTCCAAACCTTTCTGACATTCCTAACCTACTCTAATCTATGCATTTGTCCACCCTTTACCAAGATGCTTGGTGGGAATTCCCTGTTCTTACCCCCCCCACACACACACACCTTGTTCTACTAGCTTAAAATGTCTTTATATCTTCTTTTTCCTGGGGAAAGAGAAGATCATTATTCTTTGCAATTTCTGCGGCCCCACTCTTGATCACATCACTTCTCAAAGCCCTAATTCTTCCATCGAGTGCATTCTGATCAGACTATCAGAGTCATCTTACTAAAACATCTTGTGGATTATGTCATTCAATTGAGACATCTCCAGTTGCCATCCATTGGCCGGCCACTCAGTGGATTCTAAGTCCTAGGCAGGGCATTCAGTGTCTTCCATAGGCTGACTCCAATCCAGCAGTATTTTCCAGAACTCTACTAGCAGACTTTCCTCCCTACTTCTCTGTATCTGGGCTGTTTATTTTTCTCTAAAACATTGCAGCTTTTGTTTGTACATTATTTAGTGATACTCTCTCTGTGTCTTTATCTCTTGAACCCTTTTGAAGCCATACTGAGATAGCCAGTTCTTCCATTATTCCTTTCCTTGTTATCACGGGCAAAGTGACCCCTTCTTTCCTCCTCCTCACTCTTATAGCTCTTATTTTCTACTCATTGCTTCATTTATTCAATAGCTAATATTGATGTGTGCCTAATATGTGCTTGACATTTCTAAATGTGTAGTAATCAATGATGGATAAGATACGCAAGGTTCCTGCTCTCATAGAGCTAACATTTTACTGAAAGAGATTAAATTATGAAGAAAAATGTTAAATAGAAAACCTATAAAGAAAGTTGAATAAAATAAGGCTTTGTGAAGAGAGTGATTTGCTCCTTTCTCTAGATTATCAGTCAGGAAAGACCTCTCTGAGCATATGATTACTAAAATGTGGAGCTATATAATTGGGGAAGGAACATTTTAAGCAGAAGGAACAGTTAGTACAAAGGAACTGAAGAAGGCTAGTATAACTGGAGTGTAGTGGATAATGGAGAAATGGTACAGGATGATTTTGGAGAATAGATAGGGTAAGGAATTTAGATTTTATTATAAGTGTCATTAGAGTGCTTTAAGCAGGGTTCTGATAGGACTTTACCTTTTAAAATATCATTCTGGCTGCTTGCTATGTGGAGAATAGACTACAGTGAGCCAGCAGTAGAAGGAGTGACTAGAGGCCTTCCCGATGTCTAAGAATCTCTGGAATGAAGTAGTACGTAGAAGTGATGGAGAGACAGCAGGGGTGATCAGAAAGCCACGTGCTTAAAGTCAATGTTTTGTGAAGTGCAGACATGAGAAAGCCAAGGGTATGACCATGGGAGAGATGACTGAGGTTAAGCAAACCTGTAAGTTTGAGGAACTGATGGACAGTGATGTTAAATGGAAGATGTATGTGGATGGATGTTCATGGAAGTAATGCTGGATACAGATAAGCCAAGTGTTAACGTCATCAGTGAATGAAGAGCCTCGGGATCAGAATGAAGATGACAGTAGATAGTAAAGCCTGATGAACTTCAGAGTTACTGGGAATTTTGAAAGTAGAGGAGGAAGAAACAGTTTGAATGGAGGGAAACAAAATACTTATATCCTCTAGAACTTAGGCATGTAGTATGTGAAAGGAGAAATAGCCATTGTTTGAGAAGACCTCAGAAGTAGTAGTCTGGGGAAATAGGTTCCAGTTGGGGCAAGAAACTGAAGGGAATGTGCAGGAAATTAAGGAATTAAGAAAAATATCTTTATATATTTCATAGGAAATTAGGATATAGAAAATCTGTTATTTCTACATGGCACAATGGAAAGGATTGAGAAGGAGAGGTTGGTAAATTGGTTCACATTAGCTAAATACATTGTGTAATTGGGGATGAAGGTCCTCATGATGATACATTCCTTGGAGAGTGTGGGTTTCTGATAATCTAGGGCCCTGGGCAAGTGATCTGATAATCTGGGGACCTATGGCATGGTAGCCTTGGGTTGTGAGAAGAGTACATACACACTTCCTTTGGACTAATGTCTTATGTATTGCTCCCAGAAAGTTATGTAAGGGTCTCTTCTCTCTGTAGGCAAAGATATGATGCTTGGTGTGATAGTTATGTTTGTGTGTCAACTTGGCTAGGCCTGGTTGAGTGGCTGGGCAGCTGGTGGTAGTTATTCCCCATGTTGAGACTGAATCAACTCCATGGTGGGAGTTGGCTGGCTTTGGGATGTGGTCTGCTTCCTGTATATAAGGAGAAGCCCTAGGAATGGTCTGTAGCTTATGGTACCTTGGAGCCTGCATGTAGCTGTCTTGTTGCTCAGCAGCCTGCCATGCTCTGCCAACCTTGGGACTCACAATGGACTTAAGTTAATGGCCTGTCATGTGGTTTGGTAACATCGGGACCATGCCTTTTTACTTGTCAACCTTGGGCTTCTCAGCCTCAGCAGCCAGCAGCTGTCTGAGTGAAGAAACCCCTCTAGCTCCAGCGGGCTGGAAGCAGGAGGCAGAGCTGGACCCCAAGGTTGAGGGGCTTTCACTCAGGTCCTAGACCCTGGTACTTTGAATTGTACTTAAAATCTCCAAATTGTAAGAATAAACTCCTGTTTGTTAAGGCCATCCCATTTGTGGTTTATCCTTGTCAGAGTGGCACTAGGTAACCAAAACACTTGGAAATCACAGGGTCAACCTCAAAAGTTTGTGCCTGTCCTAATGGGGGCTTCAGAGAAGGCTTAAGATCTGGGACTAAATTAAGGTTAATTTAAAGCATAATTAAATTGCAAGTTGATATTTATAACTGCATTTATTTATCAATTTAGACTATTTCTTTGCATGTTCTCCTTGTCCCCTGTTCTGTCCCTGCCCACCTACTATATAAAAATCTAGTCCTATTGTTCTCGTTACCTAGTGCTGCTCTGATGAGAATATACTACAAATGGGATGGCTTGAACAAACAGGAGTTTATTCTCTTAAAATTTTGGAGGCTTTAAGTCCGAGTTCAAAGTGCCAGCCTCTAGGGGCTCAGTGAAAAACCCTCAACCTTGTGCTCCAGCTCTACCTCCTGCTTCCGGCCCACTGAAGCTGGAGGCTTTTCCTTCACTCAGACAGCTGCTGCCTACTGTGGCTGACAAGCCCAAGGTTGACAAGTAAAAAGGCACAGCCCCAATGTTACCAAACAACATGGTAGGCCACTAATTCAAGTCCAGATAAAGTCCCAAGATCGGCAGGGCATAGCAGGCTGTTGAACAACGACTTGGCTACATGCAGCGTTCAAGCTTGCCAAAAGGCTAAAGGTAATTCCCAAAGCTTTTTCTTACATATGGGAAGCAGACCACACCCTAAATAGCTACTCAGCTGCTCACAGTATATTCCACCATGGAGTTGATTACCAGTCTCATCATGGGGAATACTACATCCAGCTGCCCAGCCACTCAACCAGGCCCAGCCAAGTTGACACACAAACTTAACTACCACAACTATGTTCTCAGAAATTATAAAATTTGGACAAATCACTGTCCTTTGTTCTAGTTTATTTTTTATGGGCCTACAAATTGTATTTTTGAGATAAGCTTGAAATTGACCCATTTAAAACCTACAGAATATATGGAAGTCTGGGTGGATGAAGAATCAACTTACAAATCACCATTATTATCAGAAAACATTTGCCTGTTCATTCATTTTGGCATAGAAGAGTCAAAGAACACATGATATGTAGTCATAAATTACTAATGTTATTTAAGAGAACTCAGGATCTAAAGGGAGAAAGTTAAATAAATCCAGCAAACCTATTCCTACTTTGTTTTCCAGAACTTGTCTTTCTGGTACCTGACTGCCTCTTTGTTTCTTTTGTAGGCATTATTGTTTAAGAATGGAAGAAGATACAGACTATAGAATCAGGTTCAGTTCTTTGTGTTATATTAGTGATCATATTGGATTTTGTGGTACTATAAAAAGCTCACCAAGTGATTTTGTTGTTATTGAGATCGACGAGCAAGGACAATTAGTTAACAAGGCCACTGATGAACATCTTTGCAAGATTAATAACATACTACCTGAGCTAAATAATTTTGCCAAAAACCCAAAACTAGATCTTCAGAGTTTACCCTTTGAAGGTGTACATAACCAAGAGCTTGATGATTTAACTAGGTGTTCTGATGGTGACCAAAATCAGCAGTCTAGTTTAGAAAATGAAGGCATTGTCGAGTATGAAATTTCCAAAGGTGAAGAAGAAACAGCTGATGTATTAGACTGCATACTAGATGAAAAAACTAATGAATTACTGAATCAGTTTGCCTGTGACATAAAAGAGAAGTGGGATTCTAAAACTGAGCTACTGGGACCATCTCCTGAATTCTCATTAGGCAGAATCATTGACAAAGAACAGAGGGCCAGTTTACATAGTGCTGTTAGGCAGAAATTTCCTTATTTAATAACTGTAGGAAAAAACAGTGAAATTGTTGTAAAACCAAATCTTGAGTATAAAGAACTCTGTCACTTGGTATCTGAAGAAGAAGCATTTGCCTTTTTTAAGTATTTGGATGCAAAGAAAGAAAATTCCAAGTTTACCTTTAAACCTGATACAAAGAAAGAGCACAGAAAAGCTGTCCATCATTTTGTCAACAAAAAGTTTGGAAACCTTGTGGAAACTAAATCTTTTCCAGAACTAAATTACAATGCTGATAATCCAAAGGTAGTGATAACAGTGAAGTTTCGAGAAAAAGCACACAAGCGCAGGAAAAGGTCTCTTCTTGAATGCCAAGAAAGAAAAGTTACATATACAGGTAATTTAATAAATCATCATTTTCTTGGATAAGCTTAAAATTGTGTGAAAATTGAGTATTTTAAAATGAAATGGACTTGGACAAAGATATTTGAAAAAAATACATGGGTCTATTATTTAATAGATGATAAGACCTTTCAAATTATACTAAATGTAAAAACTGGCCTTACTGATCAAAGTATGCTTAACGCAGACATGTACAATTAACATAGTTACAAATATATAAAGTTGAAGAAGTTCTTTTGTGTCTCATAAGCTTTTTTGGAGGTAAACATTATTTTCATATTTTGAAAGTCATCTTAAAAATCAATATTTGGAAATTAACAGAATATGTATGCTATGTTTGGAAAAGTAAAGAAAATATCTTATAATCCAAAACAATTAAACATCTCTAATCAAGGTAAGGCATGAACCTGACAACTTTTACAGAACATTCCTTCACGTGGCTGGGTCGGTGTCTTAGAGAAAAATTTTTGAAAGTTTAGGCATTATAGTCATCCAAAGAGCTTGTTAAAACATAAATTTCTGAGGCCCATTCCCAGAGTTTCTGATTCAGAAGGTTTGGGGTAGCCCTTTGACAGATTCCCAAATGATACTTCTGCTGATGTGAAGACCACATTTTGAGAGCCTATAATAATAATGAAGATGGTTCAGCTGGCCCAAAGTTTGGCTCTGTTAAACATGGGACCAACATGAGTCAGAGCTGACTCAGTGGCAACTAGCAAGTAATGGAGAGCATATTTCTTACAGAGGGATGAAAATACGCAAAGATACAAAGCTGTGGGATACTAGTCTATTGGTATTCTGGTTACCTAGTGCCACTCTGACAAGGATATATACCATAAATGGGATGGCCTTAACAAACAGGAGTTTATTACAATTTGGAGGCTTTAAACCCAAGTTCAAAATGCCAGCCTCTAGGGGCTGGGTGAAAGCCCCTCAACCTTGGGGTCCAGCTTTGCCTCCTGCTCCTGGCCTACTAGGCTTTTCTTCACTCAGCTGCTGGCTGCTGAGGCTGACAAACCCAAGGTTGACAAGTAAAAAGGCACAGTCTTGATGTTACCAAACCATACGGCAGGCCATTAATTCAAGTCCATTGTAAGTCCCAAGGTCGGCAGAGCATGGCAAGCTGTTACACGTGGGGTCCAAGGTGCCATAAGCTAGAGACCAGTCCTAAGGCTTCTCCTTATATACAGGAAGCAGACCACATCCCAAAGGCAGCTGCTCAGCTGCTTGTGGTAGATCCCACCATGGAGTTGATTGCCAGTGTCATCATGGGGAATAACCACCACCAGCTGCCCAGCCACTCAACCGGGCCCAGCTAAGCTGACGTACAAATTTAACTACCACAATTAGGGATTGTGAGAAAATTTCAGTGTGAGCATTATAGGATATCTGAATGAAAGTGGCCCAAGCAGAGGCTGTAATGGTAAATTGGGGCCCAATAATAAAGGGAATTTGAATGTCAAATCAAGGAATTTGGATTTCCCTGTAAACTTTTGATGACTGATTAGAATATTTCAGATAACATTAGCTGAAATCTGTGAAGCTGGTTTTCTTTGATTAAAAAATGCTCTCTATATTTTCTTTAGATTAATGACTTGATTCGTTATACTAATCTGTTAATCCAGAACCAAACCCTTTGCTGTCGAGTTGGTTCTGGCTTACAGAGATGCTATAGGACAAAGTAGAACTGCCTCATAGGGTATCTAACACGGTAAATATTTGTGGAAGCAGACTGCCTCATCTTTCAACTGCAGAGCGGCTGATTGGTTCCAAGCACCCTTTCAGTTAACAGCTAAGTGCTTAACCTCCGTGCCGGCAGGGCTCTTAACTAATCTGTTATTCTGCTAAAATATAATTGATGTATGGTAGCTTTCTTGTTTGTAATCTAGGATTGTTTTTATTTCAGCTTTCACTCTGCGAAAGGAGAATCTGGAAATGTTTGAGGCAATTAGTCTTTTAGCCATCAAACTTGGTGTGATTCCTTCAGATTTCAGTTATGCAGGCCTTAAAGACAAGAAAGCCATCACCTATCAAGCAATGGTTGTTAGAAAAGTGACTCCAGAGAGGTAATAAAACATTGTTTTACAAAATAGAATTTTACTTTTCATATTGTATCACGTGACTACATTAAGAACCCAGAATAATATAGAGCATATAAACCTTGCTATTAATATTAATTAATTGATTACAGGCTTACTGAGCAGTACTTTTGCATTTATAATGTAGTCATCTTCTGAATAGAGTTATGTTTTAAATTCATATTTAAAATATGGGCAGTTTCAGAATAAAGACTTCAAGAAATAGCAATTTAAATGATCTTAAGTTGTATATAACATCTCATACTATATTCAAATAAATATTTATGTTTAGGATTGTGTCTTATAGATAATTTTTCTCTAATCATACAACTTTAAACCTTTGTTTTCTTGGTTGCTGACAATTTAAAAGAAATCCTTATTAAATAGAATGTAAAGTATACAGATTTAGCTTGCCTTCTCAGCTCAGTCAGATTTTTAAAATATTTTTTGTAATTGTAAAAGTAATATATGTTCATTGTAGATAATTTAGAAAATAGAAAAAAATCTAAAAAAGAAATGAAAAGTCACTAGTAATACTACTACTCAGAAATAACCATGACAATATTTTGATCTGTTTCCTTCCAGATTATACTATACATACACACATCCAACAATGACATGTTTATATATCATACTGTATATGTAGTTTATATTTTTCTTTTTAATTTCTTTAAAATTTCACTTTTATAAGGAAAATAATAAATATGAGAATTTATGTCATGAAATATTTCAAATTCATGGTTTTTAATCTATCGTATAAACTAATTTGTTTAATGTTCCTCTATTTTTGGATACAGAATTTGTTCAGGTTTTTCACTATAAATAATACTGTGATGAATGTTTTTCTACTTATATCTGTGCCTTTTGGATAATTTTCTTAAGATAAACTTCTAAAAGTGAAATCACTGAGTCAAAATTCAGCCTAATTTGATGTAATATTGCTATATTAACACTTAGTCACCAGATGTTCAAGTATTACTCTTTTAGGCTCTTATGTGAAGGAGGAAAAAATGTATGTGTCTTTGTCTTTGTGATTGAGAATTTCACTAAGGTGAAAGAAAATGGCCTTTAGATGTTAAAAGATATTTTAGATGAAAGTGGGTTTTACTAATGAAAGATGATAAATATTATTCCTAGGAAGACAGAGTGCTTTTATTTAGCCTTACAGGAATGGGATTTTAATTACTCTTTACATAATGTAGAATTTTAGTAGATGCAGAAAAGCTGAATGTGTATTTGGAGAGTCAGTAAATTAAAGAATCTACCTAATAAAAACTGTTCCCCGTAAGAAAAGGAAATATGAATGTAAAGAAAGTTTTATATTAGTTCTTGGAGGATCTTAAAAATTACACTAAGATAATTGAATTTATTCTCCAAATGTTGGGGAACAATTGGAAGTCTGAGTAAGAAAGTGATGACAGCAGAATTTTAGGACAATCCTCTGTTGCTAATGTTTTTTCCTGTAATGTTGGGGGAAGAGAAACTGAGGAAGAAAGGGGCAGTGTCTAGGAGCAGGAAGAACAGGAGTACAATTATGAGGTTTTAGCACTTGAACTGGGAGCTCTGGTAGCATAGTGCCTAAGGCACTTTACTGCTAACCAGAAGGCTGGCGGTTCAAACCCACCAGCCACTCCTCGGAAGGAAGGTTGGGCAATCTACTTCCATAGTGATACTGCCTCGGAAACCCAAGGATAAGTCAGAAGATTTACATACATAGAGTGATGGTGTGGGTTTGACTCTCTTGTTGAGTGTTTTTCTTTTTTCTATTTCAGTTGTTTTATTCTTCTGTTCCATTAGTCTCTTTGCTTTTTTTTTTTTTTTTTGATGTTTTCAGTTTCCTTGTTAAATCTCATTTGGACCTCCATTTGCTCCTGACTCTGCTAATTTTTCTGTCTGCTTTTGCTTTCATATTCAGCACCATAGTCTGGAAATTATCAATTATTTGTGTTAATCTGGTCTCCATAGGAGACATTTCCTCTTCTTCATATTTTGCTTTTGTAGCTCTTCTCTTGTGGTTTTGTGTGTTTTACTGTTTTTTTATTGAACTTGGGGCATTTCTTTTTTTTTCCTTTAAAGTTTATATTATGGTTTCTGTGGAACCATTTCTGATTGAGTGCTCTGGTGGTACAGCCACCAAGTGCCTGGCTGTGGACTGAAAGGCCTGGGCCAGCACCCAGCAGCCACTCTGAAGGAGAAAAGTGCAGCAGCCTACCTCTGCAATGACTCACAGCCTTGGGAACTTTTCCAGGCAGCTCCACTCTGCCTCACAGGGTCTCTGTGAGGCCGAATTGACCTAGCAGCAGTAGGTTTGGTACCTTCTGAGAACCACTAGAGGGCACTGTTATCCTTAGGTGTTTGTTTTTGTTAGTGCTGATTCAGGAGTTCTAGAATTCAATAATATGCGCTGGAGAGGAGGTTTAGCTGGTTTCAGATGTTTATGGAAATGGTGGGGCACAGCTTCCCACTGGTGAGGGTTGGGTGATTTCTCCATGCGTTTTCCTCATGAGCATGCACGTGCTCTTCCATTGTATCCCACTGTGGGTAGGGAGCCAGCTGTTTCCCTCTGGGTCACTTGCCAGTCTGAGGTATTCCCTTTACCCTGCTGCTCATGCAGTTCCTTTTGGTCTTAGTGGTTGTCTGTTTTGCAGCTCAGTAAGATTCAGCAGCACTCTTCCCAGTTGCGTAGTTGGTGAACTCCCTTGGTTTATTTGCACTGCCTTAAAAAAAAATCTGGCTACACCTTCCTCAGATTAGTTCCCTTTTTGTGTTCCCTGTTTGTGGTATTGCCCAGCCTGGTCTCAAAATAGCAATGAATTAGTGCTTCTAATGTTAGCGGTTAGGTTCGCCAAGCTTCGGTACCATCCCTGCTTCTCGTCTCCCTTGCTTCTAGACTCACCCCAACTTGCCAACACCTCAGCTGCTGTCTGGAAATCTCAGTCAGTGCTTGTTTTTTTTTCCATTGTTGGGTGAGTTAGTTGCTGGAAGACTACATGGGAGCATCCACTCACTTTGCTATCTTGCATTAATATTCTGATGAAAGTAGGTGTCTGACAACAAAACATAATTGTCATTTTAAAAAGTTATATTAAAGTTATTTTTAAATATGAATTTAACTGAGTCTATTTGACCATTTATAGGTTGAAAAATATTGAAAAAGAAATTGAAAAGAAAGGAGTAAATGTGTTTAATATTCGGACTGTAAATGATTCCCTTAGACTTGGTCAGCTCAAAGGAAATCACTTTGATATCATAATCAGAAATTTAAAAAACCAAATCAATGATTCTGCACTTCTGAAAGAAAGAATTTTGGAGGCAATAGAAAATGCTAAGGTAAGAAAACTCGATTTTAAAATAGAATGTTATAGGAAAATCTTTATTCCTTTTCTTTCTATTGAAACAAGAAAGAGGCTTTCCTTTTTTACCTTTTCTTAGAGATAAATGGCTTATATTTATTTTCTTAATATATTTTTGCATTAAAATAAAACAAAACAAATCAGTAATTTGATTTTTTTTTAAAAATAGAGCATATGGAGTATGTCAGAGGGAAAAATATCTTTACAATGGATTAGATCGGAAACCCAAGGATGGGTTGCTATGAGTCAGTCCGACATGATGGCACATAACAACAACAACAACAACACTATCAGAGTAGAATTTTAGGCAGAGAGACTTATTTTTTGAAATTGTGTTCAGTAATTTTTTTCAGAAACCTTTGGTAAATGTGTATATTACTTTTTTAGAATTATTATGTACAGTCTTTTTTCTTTTTAATCGAACTTCAATTTTTTTCAATGTAAATAAATGATAAACCATATATATTTCATTATGTCTTACTGTAAGCAATAACTTGTTTTTAAATGATATTTGCCAAGCATCTAAGTGTATACATATAACCATAGCCTGATCATCTAGACCAAAGGTTCTAAAAAAACTAACTCATTGCTGTTGAGTCAGATCCAACTCATAGGGTTTCCGAGGCAGTATCGCTACAGAAGTAGATTGTCTAACCTTCCATCTGAGGAGTGGCTGGTGGATTTGAACTGCTAGCCTTCTGGTTAGCAGTGAAATGCCTTAGGCACTACGCCACCAGAGCTACCAACCTCAGGAACTTTTAAAAGTTACAGTGGTCAATCTCTACTGCCATACCAATTAAGTAAGAACATTTTAGAGTGGGGCTTTTGGATTAGTATTTATTTTATTTTTTTTTAAAAAACAAACTCCCTAATTGATTCTTCTGCAGTCAACATGGAGTTGATCTGAGTTTCTTACCGTAAAGACCTTTTGCACAATTTATATAAACACAAAAAACTGTTTTGAATCAATATTATATCTTACAGTTAAGAAATGTCTCCCAACAAAAGATCTTTTGAATCTAATACGTTCACCTATTTTTAGGAATTCCCTGATTGTATATACTTCATAGGCTTTTTTCTTTAACTTACCTAAAATTCTGGGAGCTCTAGTGGCGTAGTGGCCAAGGCATTTGACTGCTAACCAGAAGGCTGGCGGTTCAAACCCACCAGCCACTCCTTGGAAGGAAGGTTGGGCAGTCTACTTTTGTAGTGATACTGCCTTGGAAAGCCAAGGAGGGGTCACTAGGAGTCAGCCCCAACTTGATGGCAGGGCGTTTTTTTTTTTTTCCCCCTAAAATTCTCAATTTCTTTTTCTGGAAAACTTACTAAAATGATGTCCTTTAAAAATGAAGGGAGGTGATTTTTCTTGAACTCTAAACCTATCTTTCATTTGGCACTTAAAGATGTATTTTAAAATTTCCATTAGGAATCATTTTAGCTCTAACCAACTTTTCTTTAGTTTTCATAATCAGGAAAGGGAGTTGAGAATCCCTCAAATCAAGGAGTCTTTTAAATTTTTTTTTTTTCATTTTTAGGGAAAACATGAAATTTTTAAAATATCTAATTTATGTTGTTTTTGTTATTGAGAATTTGTATAACAGATCATATACCAGTTAAATAATTTCTACATGTAGAATTCACTGACATTGATTATATTCTTTGAATTGTGCAGCTATTCTCACTCTCCTTTTCTTATTTGTTCCTCCTGAACATAAACTCACTGCCCCTTAAGTTTCTTATCTAGTCTTTCAAGTTGCTATTGTCCCTTTGATCCCATGTAGACAGAACTTCAAACAGCACAATGCTCAAGGCAGACATTCTTTGCTGGTTAAGTTAAACTATTATTTGGTTTTCAGAAGACTTCAGGGGATATATTTGATTTAAGGTTTAAAATAGTTGGTTCAGGTTTATTCAGGGTAATATTTTCCCCCTTTTGATCATGATTCTTCAAGGTGTCCTTTGAAGTTTTGTTCAGAGGATTAAAACTCTGATTGTTATAAACCTAAAATTATTTAGGTTGTCTCTAACGCAATATAATTTAAATGGCTTGATTTATTGGCTATTTCAGGATACTATCTGATATTATTTTTCTAAATTTGAAATAATTAAAATAATTAAAAATGTTTATGATACTTAAAACAGAAGTACTTATTCTATAATTGTTTTTTGTGAATAATGTGAAGTAAGGGTATAGTTCCTTTTATACCATGCCTAACAGATCATCTCAGCATTTTTTATTGAATGGTCCCTGATTTGGTGCCCAGTAATAATTGTTGGCTGAATAAATGTATACTCACCACATAAAGTGAGTGTGGAGGACTCTCATCTTTCAAGAAACCATCTGGGCTTGTTTTTTCTTCATGAGAACATATTTAACCACTAACCAGTTTTTTAATGGTTGTGAAAATAAATTAGAATTTTCTCCTTCTTCTGAGTGATGTGACAGTTTTAAAACATAGCCTCAAGATTTACCTCCTATTAAGAGGGGGTGGCCTTGTCCCTTTATCTTGAATCTAGACACTGATTGCTTGTCCAATAACAGATTCAAGAAAATTGATGCTATTGTCTGAGTCCATTCTTTAAGAGCTAGAAGCATTCAGTTCTCTCAAGGTGCTTACTCTTGAAAACTGGCCACCAGGCTGTGAGGAAGCCCAAGCCACCCTGTGGAAAAGGTTAACAGCTAGCATAACCTTGACAGCCATATGAGTTTTAAGATTTTCATCTTGTAAGTGGATCCTCTAGGTCTGCTTAAGTCATGTTAACTGATGCTGCATAGAACAGAAACTTACTGTCCCCATTAGCCCTGCAAAAATTGACAGATTTGAGGGAAAAAGAAAAAGTAGATGTTTGTTATTTTAAGTTACTGAGTTGTGGAGTGATTTGTTATGGAGTAATAGATGTTGGAACAGATTTTGTTTCCTGGAAATACAATACTTCTGTTACAGAAACCCAAAACATGCACATTTGGCTTTGGACTAGTCAATGGACAGAAGCCAGAAGAACTCTGAAGAATGTGTTAATCAAAGTCTATAGGGCCTCCAGGAGAATGTTAATGAAAGCCCAAGGGCCTTGAAGAGAGTATTAGCAGAAACTAAAAGAGCTTGAGGAAGCTATTGATGAGAGCCTAAGGAGAGGAAGAAAAATGTTATTGAAACCTGGGAAAATGGATCCTTTATTATTGTGGCAGAAAGTTAGGCAACAACTGTCATCTGCAGTGATGTGGAAAATAGGAAATGTACCCGAGAAATGTGATGGTTCTGGGTAAGGAGATTTCCAGGCAGAATATGGAAAGTATCACCTGGCTTCATTTCACTACCTATGATAAAATGTGATAAGACAGAGAACTAAAGACAGAAATGTTGTATGTAAAGGGACTTGCTAGGTTTGAAACTATGTTTTTTTATTCTTAGCATTTCCAGACAGTAGAAAATTCTCAAAATAAAACAGAACTTCAGGGCAGAGACCACATCTAAGTGTTAGGTGAACAGCTCATCCCAGTTTGCCCAGAACTTTTTGGTTTTCTTGCAGAAAATCCCTCATCTCAGAAAACCTCTCAATGATGTGACTGGAAAGCAGAGTATTCTTTCTTCAATTGTGATCGATACATAGGAAACAAAACATTTGCCTCTTCAACAATCTTCATATGAAAAGTCCAGGGATCTTAAATATATTCATCATCTTATTCAACCATCACCATTTACTGTCCCTAAATTTTTTCATCACTCTTAACAGAAGCGACATGTCCCCTAAGTGCTGTGTCTTCCTTTCTCTACTTATGTATTTTTTAAGTCCTCTTCACATATAGCATCCCATGAGTCAGAATTGACTTGATGGCAGCTAGGTTCTCCTGCACCCTCACTGTTCTCATTTTCTAGCTTTTAATCATTTCTTCTTCTTTTTATTTAGCTATACAGGTTGTCCTTGAGTTATAATGTATTCAAGTTATGATGACCTGGACTTATGACCATCTTTTTTTTATATATGTGCTGTTAGTAATATGTTGCTTTGCATAATTTGTTGATGTTCTCATTCTCAGATGTTCACTTACAGATGTTCAATTTTATGATTTATTGTTCAGAACACTGCCAGATTTATAAAAGATACTGCCTTTTATAAGGCGATAACAAAACTAAAAAAAAAAAAAAAAAAATGAGGCATTCAGCTTACGTCATAACCGAACTGGTACGGAGTTATTGGAAAGGAACCCTGCCGTTAGTCGGGAACTACCTGTATAGCATTTCTCAAACCATTTGGTCCCTGTCTGCATATTGCTGATTACAAGATTCTTTTATTAAAATAATTATGAAGAGAAAGATTTGCTTGGGTCTTTTGACTCAATAATTACATACTTTTGAATAATTAAAAAATTTTGTATTCATAGAGTAAAGGTTTTGTGAATTACTATGGACCTCAGAGATTTGGGAAGGGAAGGAAAGTTCACACAGACCAAATTGGATTGGCTTTACTGAAGAGTGAAATGGTATGGACTTTTAAAATATGATCTTACCTGTTTGTCATTTTGTACTTGTTACATCAGCCAACTCCTTGCTTTCTCAATGCCAGCATATAAACGCTTGTATATACAAACACATATGCCATGTATATAATATCATTGAACATTTACTGAACAGCTGCTAAATTCTTGGCCACGCATTATTAAAAAGGAAATTGATTGAGATGTTCTTGTGTTTCATACTTACTTGAGACATAAATGTGATTAGACTGTTAATGCTCTGGTTTTAGAAGTTTAAGAGGCCAAGTTTTAGCCATATAAGAAAGGCTCTTCTAACAATTGTCCAAAGGAGTGGACTTCATTCCCCAAAGAAGTAGAGTTTCCTGTTTTTCATAACATTTTAAGCAAATGCTGAAAGGCCACCCTCCCCCCTCTTCAAGCTTCATATTCTACCCTCCTGAATTTTTTTTTAAAGTTGGCTAGAGTATTATCTACTGCTGTGATAATAATCTAGAGTTATCTACTGCTGTGTATCAAATTGCCCTAAACTGTAATGGCTTGAAACAACAAACCTATATTATTTCAAACAATTTTTTCAGATCAGAAATCAGAGCAGCTTAGCTGTATATTCTGGCTCAGAGTTTCTCCGGAAGTTGTAGTTAGACTGTAGCCCAGGAGTGCAGTCTCTGAAGACCTGACTGAGGCTAGAGGATCTGCTTCCAGACTCCTCACGTAGCTCTTTTCAGGAGGCTTCATTTATTGCCTCAGAGCTACTCACAACAGAGCTTTCCCCAGAGAGAAGAGTCTAAGTGTGCAAGAAAGTGAGAGAGAGTGAGACCAAAACAGAAACCACTGTGTCTTAAATAAAAACCCAATCTTGAAAGTGATATGTCCTCCCTTCTACCATAGTCTACTGGTCACATAGACTAACCCTGATGCCATGTAGGAGGGGACTACAGAAGGGTGGAGGTACCAGGAGGTGGGGATGATTGGAGCCCATCTTAAAAGCTGGCTCCTGCAGCTAGAAAGCCACTCTTTCTTTCCTTTGCTTGAAGCATCCTCCAGTTCTAAACATGATAGTTTTTATGTCTCAATTTACACATTCTCACCCAACTTCGCAAGACAAAGTGAATGTTCCTTATGCTGTGACCTGGCAGCATCCTGGACTTCTCATCTTAGGTTTTATTAACATTTCATTATTATTACTTATTTAATCTTTTTCAGTAGACAGTAAGCTTTGGTAGGGCAGGGAGCATGTCTTGTTTGCTCAACACTCTGTCCCTAGCATCCAACACTCTGTAGGTAACATATGGAGGTGCTTAATATTTATTTGAATGAAACAGCTTCTTAGCAAATATTTGTTGAATACATGAGTACCATAAAAGTAGATGGAGTGGGATGTTAGGTTGAATGGCCTATTTTAAGATTCTTCTTACTCTAAGATGAATACTTAGAAATAAATCCCAGTGATTAAATACAGGAACTAAGTATAGATACCATTTAAAAATTTTTTTTAAAGAATGTTTTTTCATCTATTTAAGATTCAAAAAAAAATTTTAAAGAAGGTATTTGTCATTTTCATTAACACATGTTTATTTTCTTGGTTTTTAAAGGTAAAGGCTGTAAAATTATTTCTTACACCAGAAGACTTGGATGATCCTGTAAATAGAGCAAAGAAATATTTTCTTCAAACTGGTATTTAAAAATTTCTTTACCTCATGTATATCCCTGCAGATACATAATATTAAGCAGGAGAACATATCAATATAAATGTTGTAATAAGAAATAGATTATGGTACATTGTACATTTAATCATTTTATTAAATGTCTAAGGCACTGCATTTTTGGCCAGATCTCTGGGACTTCTTCCTTAATCTTACTGTAAGTAAGTGATTTGTACCCTTCAGCAATAGCTTAGGGATAAGAGTTAATTTCTTATTCTTGGTCTAAATTCTCTGGGGAAACGTTAATATTAGGTATCTTCAAATTGACTTTGACTCATAGTGACCCTATGTGACAAGAGTAGAACTACCCCATATAATTTTATAGGCTGTAAGCTTTATGATAACAGATTGCCAGGTCTTTCTTCCACAGAGCTGCTGGGGGAGTTGGAACTACCAACCTTTTGGTTAGCAGCCAGGAGCTTAAACTTGCAATACCAGGGCTTCTTAGAAAAAAACAAAAACCAAACTCATTGCCTTTGAGTTGATTCCGACTCATAGCAACTCCTGTTGGGTGTCCAGGGTGTAAATCTTTACAGATTCAGATTGCTCCATTTTTCTTTCATGGAGCAGCTGGTGGGTTCAAAATACCAACTTTCTGGTTAGCAGCCAAATGCCATAATCACTACACCACCAGAGCTTCTTAGAGGTTCTAAATTCTAAACTGGTACTGATAGCCGTGATTCACGACACTTGGGTGAGACTTAAACAAAATAAAAGTTCATTTCTGATATTCATCGCTTGTGAATTGTTTTCCATCTATTTGCCATTTAGCCCTTACTGTTAAGTTTGAAAGGCGCTCTGGTGGCATAGTGGTTAGAGCATTTGGATGCAAACCAAACATTTAGTGGTTTAAACTTACTAGCTGCTCTGCAGGAGATAGATGAGGCAGTCAGCTTCCATAAAGATTTATAGCCTTGGAAACCCTATGGGCAGGTCTACTGTATCCTATAACGTTGCCATGAGTTGGAGTTGACTCAGTGGCAATGAGTTTGAGTTTTTTTGGTTTATCAAGTTTGAAGTCTTTTGGTCGATACAATGGTATGTATGTAGAATGCTACATATACATCTGTGGAAAGAGGCTATGGAGAAGCTCAATATCGTCAGTCAGAACAAGGCCAGGAGCTGACTGGAACAGACCATCAATTGCTTATATGCAAGTTCAGGTTAAAGCTGAAGAAAATTAAAACAAGTTCATGAGAGAGAGCCAAAATGTGACTTTGAGTATATTCCATTTGAATTTAGAGACTATCTGAAGAATAGATTTGATGCACTGAACACCAGTGACTGAACACCTGATGAGTTGTGGGGTGACATCAAGAACATTATACATGAAGAAAGGAAAAGGTCATTATATAGACAGGAAAGGAAGAAAAGACCAAAATGGATGTCCGAAGAGACTCGACCTTGCTCTCAAATGGAGACTGGCTAAAACGAAAGGAAGAAATGTTGAAATAAACGTGCTGAAGAGAAGATTTCAAAGGGTAGCTCTAGAAGATAAAGTATTATAATAAAATGTGCAAAGACCTGGAATTAGAAAACCGAAAGGGAAGGACATGCTTGGCATTTCTCAAGCTCAAAGAACTGGGAAGAAAAAAAAAATTCAATCCTTGAATTACAGTAATGAAGTATTCTGTAGACAAAATATTGAATGATGCAGGAAGCAGCAAAAGAAGATGGAAGGAATACAGAGTCACTGTACCAAAAAGAGTTGGTCAGTGTTCAGTTTTTTTGGGAGATAACATATGATCAAGAATCAAAGGTATTGAAGGAAGAAGTCAAAGCTGCACTGAAAGAATTGCTGAAATACAAGGCTCCAGGAATTAGTGTAATAATACACATTGAGTAGTTTCAACCAACGGAAGCAGCTCTGGAGGCACTTACTCATCTCTTCCAGGAAATATGGAAGATAACTACCTGGCCATCTGACTGAATGGCCATATTTATGCCCATTCCAAAGAAAGGTGATCCAACAGAATGTGGAAATTATTGAACAGTATCATTAATATCACATGCAAGTAAGATTTAACTGAAGATAATTAAAAAAACAATTTCAGCAGTATATTGATAGAGAACTGCCAAAAATGCAAGCTGGATTCAGAAGAGGATGTGGAATGAGGGGTGTATTGCTGATGTCAGATGGATCTTAGCTGAAAGCAAAGAATACCAGAAAGATGTTTATTGACTACTCAGAGGTGTTTGACTGTGTGGATCATAACAAATTATGGATAACATTGCAAAGAATGGGAATTCCAGAACACTTAATTGTGTTCACGAGGAACATGGACCAAGAGGCTGTCATTTGAACAGAACAAGGGAACACTGCATGTTTTAAAATCAGGAAGGGCATGCATCAAGGTTGTATCCTCTTACCATACTTACACAATCTGTATGCTGAGCACATAATCTGAGAAGCTGGATTAAATGAAGAGGAGCATGGCATCAGGATTGGAGGAAGATTCATTAGCAACCTGCGATATGCAGATGATACAGCTTTCTTTGCTGAAAGTGAAGATGACTTGAGGCACTTACTGATGAAGATCAAAGACTACAGTCTTAAGTATGGATTATAACACAATATAAAGAAAACAAAAATCCTTCCTCATAACTGGACCAGTAAGCATCATCACGATAAAAGGAGAAAAGATTGAAGTTGTCAAAGATTTTACTTTACTTTGATTGACAATCAACACATGGAAGCCGCAGTTAAGAAGTCAGATGTCGTTTTGCAGTACAAAAATCTGCTGCAAAAGACCTCCTTAAAGTGTTGAAGAACAAAGATGTCACTTTGAAAACTAAGGTGCACCTAACCTAGGCCGTGGTATTTTCAATCACCTCATATGCATGTGAAAGCTGGACAGTGAATAAGGAAGAGCAATGGAGAATTAATTAATGCCTTTGAATTGTGGTGTTTGGCAAAGAATACTGAAAATACCATGGTCTGCCAGGAGAATAAACGAGTCTATCCTGGAAGCAGTGCAACCAGAATACTCCATGGAGTGAGAATATGCAGACCCACACCAACTTTGTTCATGTGGTCAGAAGGGGCCATTCCCTGGAGAAGGATTTCATGCTTGGTAAAGTGGAGGGTTAGAGAAAAAAGAGAAGACCCTTAATGAGATGGATTGACACAGTGGCTGCAACCGTGGGCTCAAGAGTAGCAAGGACTGTGAGGATGGCACAGGACAGGGCAGTGTTTTGTTCTGTTGTACATTTGGCACTATGAGTTGGAATTGACTTGATGGCATCTAACAACAATAACATGTAGAATGCTTAGTGAGAGACACTGAAGAAAGTGGTTGAGAATGTAGGTTCTGGAGTCACACTGCCTGGGTTTCATGCTCAACTTTTCTTCCCAAGTATGGTCTTTGGTAAGGGATTTAACCTAATTGTATTAATTTCCTAATCTGTAAATTGAGGCCAATAATGCTACCTAAAAGATTGTTGTACAGTGGTGGCTTGCATGTTGCTGTATGTCACTGGTATTTCAAATACTAGCAGTGCCAACTATGGTAGAGTTTTCAGTGGAACTTCCAGACTAAGACTTGCTAGAATAAGGGATGTGGCAGTCTATTTCTGAAGAAACTGAACAATGAAAACTTTATAAATAGCAGTGAAACATTTTCTGATATAGTGCCAGAAGATGAGCCTGTCAGATTGGAAGACACTCAAAATATGACTAGGGAAGAGCTGCCTCCTCGAAGTAGAGTTAACCTGAATGATGTGGATGGAGTAGAGCTTTTGGAATCTTTATTTGCTATTGTAGCATAACTAAAACTGAGAAGAAATAGCTACAAACATCAATTAATAATTGGACTGTAGAATGTATAAAGTGTACATCTAGGAAAATTGGAAGTTGTGAAAAATGAAATGGAGTGCATAGAGATTGATATCCTACACATTAATGAGCTGAAATGGACTGGTATTGGCAATTTTAAATTAGACAGACGGTCGTCTATGCTGGGAATGAGAAATCAAAGAGGAATGGCATTGCATTCATCATCAAAAAGGAGTGTTAGAAGATCTATCCTGAAGTATAGTGCTGTCAGTGATAGGATAACACCCATATGCCTACAAGGAAGACCAGTAATACAACTGTTATTCAACTTTATGCACAAAACACTAAAGCCAAAGGTGAAGAAATTGAAGTTTTTTAGCAACTTCTGCAGTCTAAAATTGATCAAGCATGCAATAGAGATGCATTGATAATTACTTGTGATTGGAATGTGAAAGTTGGAATCAAGGAAGAAGCAACCATACTTGGAAAATAATGGCTTTGGTAACAGAAATTATACCAGAGATAGCATGATAGAATTTTGCAAGAGCAACTTACTCTTTGCAAACACCTTTTTCAACAACATAAGTGGCAGCTATACATGTGGCCCTCACCAAATGGGATACACAGGCATCAAATCTACTACATCTGTGAGAAGAGATGAAGGAGAAGGTTAATATTATCAGTCAGAACAAGAGCAGGGGCCAACTGTGATACAGACTATCAATTGCTCATATGCAAGTTTAAGTTGAAGCTAAAGAAAACTAAAGCAAGTCAACAAGAGCCAAAATAAAACCTTGATTACATTATCCTTGAATTTAGAGACCATCACAAAAATAGATTTGATGCATTGAACACCAGTGACAACAGACCAGATAAGTGTGGGAAGACATTATGGATATCATATATGAAGAAAGCAAAAGGTCATTAAAAAGACAAGAAAGAAAGAAAAGACTAAAATAGATGTCAGAAGAGGCTCTGAAACTTGCTCTTGAATGGAGAGTAGCTAAAGCAAATGGAAGAAATGATGATGTAAAAGAGCTAAACAGAAGATTTCAAAAGGCAACTAGGGAAGACAGAGCAAAGTGTTATAATGAAATGTGCAAAGACCTGGAGTTAGAAAATCAAAAGGGAAAAACACTATTGGCATTTCTCAAGCAGAAAGAACTGAAGAAAAAATTCAAGCCTTGAGTTGCAAT